AGAGAAGAAGACAAGAGAAGAAGACAAGAGAAGAAGACAAGAGAAGAAGACAAGAGAAGAAGACAAGAGAAGAAGACAAGAGAAGAAGACAAGAGCCAAGGATGAATGGGTTCAAACACCATTGGTTCAAACACCATTGGTACTATACTACCTTGGGTGCTGGCATCGCCTTGGGGGTGGGTGAGGCAGAAGGGAGGTGAAGAAGAGAAGAAGACAAGAACCAAGGATGAGTGGGTTCAAACTCCATTGGTACTATACTACCTACCTTGGGTGGCAGCGTCGCCTTGTCATACTCTGGCAACAGTGGGATGAATGCATTCATTTCCGTCTAAGACTTTCTTTCGTCAAGACTTTCTTTCGTCAAGACTTTCTTTCGTCAAGACTTTCTCTCGTCAAGACTTTCTCTCGTCTAAGACTTTCTCTCGAGAGCGACGTCCATCCTGACAAATTGCTTTCTCTCGAGAGCGACGTCCATCTCTGACGGGTTGTCAAGGTTTCCTCTCCCAAGATAGAACGTCCAAGACATTCTCTCGAGAGGCCGACATCATCTCTAACTCTTGTGAGGCGACATCCGTCTCTAAGGGAGTCAAGGTTTCCTCTCCCAAGATAGAACGTCCGCCTCTTGGACCCGATACACGCCGTCCACGCTCTCTTTGCCGGCTCCTCGCATTGAATTCAAGCCGTGGCAGAGTTCCTGGGCAAAGACCTCTCCTACGCTCTCCAGTTGGATCGGGGTCTCAGAGGACCCTGACTCCATCATCCTGCCGTGACTTTGATTTTGAGAGTGACTGGGACCTTCACGATGGTTGGGTTCAGGTGCAGATCCAGGTCCGTAACTCTGCTGTGGCCTAACATCACGTCCTCGTTCTCGCGTCAGCCACGTCACGCTCTTCCCTTCGAGCCCGCACGCCACGATGCGGCTGAATCCCCAGGACAAATACCCTTTCGATAACGGCGAGTAGGAGCCCGACATTTTCTGCGCTGGAGTGAAGTCGTAGGCATTGGCCGTCGATGTTGGCAACGCGGCGTCGAACACATTCAAGCCAATTCCGTGTGCAGTGACGCCGCGTGAGACTTGGACCCCAATGGCGCAGATTTTGCGGTCGCTCAGAGGATGAGCCGCGACTGGTAATTCTTGCGAGGGCTGTTGATCTTTGATCCAAACACCCGGGTCGTCCGTCCGCGTCGTTGGCACGCCCCACGCCGCACAGGTCCGGATCACGCTCTCTTCGAGCAGTCTCACCCAGCACCGCGCGGTGATGCCATGGCGCCGCAGATCTACCACAATATACCCCGTCAACTGGCCTGGGGCGTGGTAGGTCAGGAGGCCCCCCCGCGGCGAGGCGTGGAACGTGGCGCGACCGTTGGCAGTCAGGAAGGCTTGTTGTTCAGAGGAGATCGGGTTCGCGAGTAGATGACGCCGGCCGACGGTGTAGGTTGGCAAGGTGGAGAATGTTAGCAGGGTTGGATCTGGGGGTGAGGATTCAAGGTCGAACCAGCTTGATGTAAGGTTGTTGGGAGCAGAGCCGGGCCCAGTAATGCTGACACGGTCGGACGTGTGTGACCTGTTACCGTTCCTGGGATTGGGATTTAGATTTCGACTTGGATCTCCATCTGCGATTGGACGTCTGTCTGTGTCGGGAGAATGTCCGCTCGAGCTCGAGCTCGACCTCAGCCCGGTGCCGGTGCTGTGATGCTCGGTTCTCCCGTTCTTGTATGCCTCTGCGTCGCTGTGGACGACATGATTGCTCTTCTCAGGTTCGGAAGTCGAGGTTGGTTCCCCTCCTCTTTGGGCAGCGCGGCGGAGCCAGTCCTTATGCGCAAATTGTCTTTCCACGAGCGCATTCTGCAAGCGCAGCGAGTGTGCGTAGGGTATCAGGTGCGGGATATGCACATGGGCTAGGCGCATCGCAGTTGCATCGTTTCAGCACTGGAGCCAGCGCTTCAAGCTTGTTATGGATAGCCGGATGCTTGACCAGCTTTGGGCCGCGGTGGTCAGGAAGGAGGGAACGGAGCGAGACCGAGATCGAGATCGATGATGTCGGAGCTGGAGGATCAGACTGGGACTGCGGTTGTAATCTACAGTACCTGCCCGGTGACTAGGAAGGTCTGAGAAGAGAAGGAGGTCTGGTCTATCGGACGATTCACAGGTGTGGTCTCATCAAATACAGTATGCAAGCAATGGCCATGTACGGAGTATGTACTGAACCAAAACCAAAACCAACGTCAGTTCGCGGACGTGTTGTTCACTACTCGGTGGGAAAGTTGCGTCGAATCTTCATCTACAGAGTACAGAGTGCGGAGTACGGAGTACGGATACATCTGGCGCTGCTCCAGTAGTAGCTCGGGCAGGGACCTAACCCTAACCCTAACCCTATGCTAGAATTAGCGACACTTCCCTCCCTCCTCGCTCGTCCCTCCTTCACACCCTCCTGGTACTTGATTCACCAAACATGATTCGATACTTAACCCTTAGATCTCAGTGTCTGTGTATCATCGGTTCGGTCGTCATTTATAAGTTTGGACTCTACTCCTTAGGTACTCCGTAGCGCCTAAGCGGGAGCCTCCTAAAGCTTAGGTGCAGCTACCGGGCCAAGAGGCTTAGGGGCCTTAGGACCCTTAGGTACATAGACTCGACCGCTTATTCTTAGGTGCTTGTTTGGTGCTTGTGTGTACACCTGCCTCGGTAAGAATAGACTGAGCCCATAGAGCTTAGGGGCCTCCTTAGCCCTTAGGGGTCGACCCGTCAACTTCACGAACCGAGCCTTAAGCTTCCTCTGCTCATGGAAAAAGACTCCAGGCCTCTCCGCCTCCCAAGTCACGCGGTGCATGCAGCTACGACCTCGGCTCCTTAGGCCTTACCGCAAGTGTCGAAAGTGAGAGAAGTTACGCCTCCGACCTATTTGGGTATTTGTGCAACCCGCGCTCATTGATGGCTATCTGGCCGTACAGGTAGGTGTCACCTAGGTGTCAGCCGGTTGCGATCGGGACCTTGCCATCGGCACTGAGGAGGTTGCTATTGTGTCGTGCTCTGTGAAGGAATGAAAATGAATGGTCGATGCTTGCGATCATCTTGACAGTGTGGTTCAACCGATTATGCACCTTCGCCTTCAGGCATGACTTGACCAGAGGTCTGGATCATAAATCCTACACCTCCCCCGTTGCTGCGGACGCCTGAGCGAGCTGTTCGAGAACGTCGCTCTCCTTTCGCCTACAGTACCTTGCCGGCCGGAAAAGAAACCCACAGGCGGCGTGAGATCCCGCCCGGACACTTACTATCAAACCGATTTGCGCGAGCCTCCCTCTTCGGGTTTCGTGAATACCATATATCATACATCATGACTAACCCTCGAAACCCGGCCAAAACGTCTCCAGCAAGGTCGGGGTCAACGTCTGAACGAACGGAGTGTGTGCAGAGCGGAGCATCGTCCGACAAGAGGGAGAGGACCGACCAGGCTCTATCTGAAGTGAGTATTGGATCAAATCTCCGCCCCGATGCAGAGACACCGGCCGGACCTAAACCTGCCTTCCAAACCGTGTCTCAATACATCAGCTCGCGACAACTAAGTGATGGGGATCTGACTGGGCACACAGTACTGCAAGTATCTCGGCGAATACCTTCACAGGACCAACTTCGACGTCAAACTAGATGACGAACCAAGCGGACGGACTGGCTGAGCGGACTGGCGCTCACACCGCAAATTCGAGGTAAGAATCTCGTATACCCCGGCTGAAGACGAGTATGTTCCTTTGAATTGCAAACAAACCGAAAACTCAAAATCCAGGAAGGATCGCTCGACCATGGTCATGCCTCACGAGGGCAGTGAGCGAGTCGCAGCAGGAGGGAGAGCGGGAGCGGAAGTGGGAGAAGCGACTACCTTTGGCGACGATTGCGGGTGGATCAATGATGTCTAGACTGACCAAGGAGAGAGCATTCGAAGCAGGTCGAAGAAGGGGAAAGTGTGATAGCAAGATACGGCGTGTGCGGGTTATATTTCCAATTTCACAAACGGCGGCGAGGGCCACGGGAAAATCTTATCTCCTCGAGGCCATAATAGTCCACTCCAGGTTGAGGAAACTGTCCAGCGCATTCGTGTACCAAGGTCACTCGGAAGTGGTTCAAGCTGGCTCAGAAATAATCGGCTGCGTCAATGTCGCGATATCTTCTCCTCTGTCCGAGGCCCGCCTCAGACCGGACGGGTTTACTCGTCTTGCTCTTCCCATCGTACCATCCTTCCACAAACGGGCCTGAGGCCCTTGGACCGTCTCGATCTTTCTGGAAAATGTCCACATGCATTGCGCCATCATGTTCGAGGCTGGTCCTCCAACCGTAGACCACCTGCGGGTTGTGGAGTGTTTGGACGATCTGCTCCCCCCGTAGCAGGCATCCACGATCGCCCAACTGTGAGAGAAAGGTGAAGTAGAGCTTTGCAATGGCGAGCGGGGTGTCGTCTTTGATGATGGCCTTGTTTGCCCAAACGATGACGGCCATGAGGGTCCAGAAATGGATGAAGGGGATGACGGCCAGAATCGCCCCGGCGTAACTCCAGTGTACACGGAGCACCTGAGCAGCGATGGGCGTTTCCCCGTCAGTCACATTTTTCCGCGTCATGGCATTCGAGCTATCCATAATCGCAATGGCTCCCATAGAAAACGAAGAAATCGCATTGGCCATGTCCGATTTGCTGGGTATGGTCGTGAACCCATAGTTGGAGAAGTTGGTGTACGTGTTCGACAGTGCTATGCCGCCGAGAACGGGCGGATTGTCGCTCCAGCCGATTGCTCCAGCGAGCATCCGCGCCGTCAGATCGGAAACGGAATAATCTGCAGGAAGTGTGCCAGTGTCCTCGCCGACTTGAGAGACAGTGTTGTTACAAAGAAAGAAGCGTCCTTCGAGAATGGTATCGCTGTCGTCGTCAACCGTATTGGTTGGCACCGACGCGGCCTGAAAGGATCTGACGTCGACACACCGTGAACCACAGGTCGAATTCAACATGGACAGCACCAAGAGACCTGCTGGACCAGGGGGAGCAGGGAGTGACTGATTGACGTCTTTTTGGCCGTCGTCATACACAATGTACGACAAATTCCCGTACTGACCTTCGACAACTTTGTAAGCGTCGCAGGATGCGTATGTACTAATATATCGGGTCGAGACGGTCTTCTGTTGGTAGTCGGCCGCGTTGGAATCCTGGAAATAGTAGAGCGTCTGCCCATCAAAGGAGGAGAAATAACTTGATTGGTATTCGCGCGAGCTGCTCATATCCAGAGGTTGCGTGATTTCACCCGTGACACCCCAGTTTTGAACAGTGCTGAGGTCCATCAGGTAGTGGCCCGTTGAAAGGGCATCCAAGTCGACAATACTGACACTCCCGTGCTTCAAGAGGACATAGTCCGGCGATGTATCGAGATTGTAGTTCAGACCGATGATGCCGACAAGAATCGTGATTGCCATATGGACGAGAAGCCACAAAAAGCACAAGATTTGCGTTCTCGAGGGCAGAAACTTATGCTTGGTGTCCCGAGCTTTCCAAAGAAGTTTGAGCACATTCATCAGACTATCGCAGCCCATGACCAGGTCAAACGTTTCCAGCGGTCGATAACAGACCGCCAGCATCCGCCAACGCACTAATTTCGCATAGCTGCGCAGTGATGCAGCCAGATTCACACCGAGCAAGAGAGAGTTACCAGTCGTCAGAGCATTGAAGACTCTCCGCTGAGGAACACTAATGGTAGGTTTCCTGGAATATGCGTAGATGATTCCGAAATAGCTGACGCATAGAACGAGGGTGTTGAACCATTCCCCGATGGTCAAGCGCCAGAGGCGATTGCGCTGTCTCGTCCGCCGAAATTCTGTCATTGTGTCCTGACGGGAAATGTCCTTTCCCGAATATTCATGCAGGGATGGCCTTATAGAGAACTGCATGCGTTGTTTCAAGGCGCTGAGAGAAGACTGCTTCCTAGACTCGTGTAGTTGCTCGACCGGACGGGTATCCGCCACTTGTACTTGTGTCAAACATCGACCACGGCGAGAGAGGAGTTTCCATACCTGACTGCGACCGTCTCGTCGATTCGTCGTCCGAGTCATCCGCATGTACAGCGGCAGGCGGAACCTCTGTCAAAGGTGGCCCTTCCACTGGATGAGGAGGGCCCATCTCAGTGTCAGGCAAGGCCTCGTGCGAGTGTTGCTCAGCATTCTCAGCATCTCTGCCCGGGAGCGGCGAATAGTCTGCGGTTGTGTTGGATGCCATCCTGTACCTTGGGCAAGAGTCACCAGCATGGTTCTCTGCTGACGGGTCATGCTGGCACTTTAAAGAGAAGAAGGTCGTCCCCAGGCGAACAGCACAACATTGCTAGACGCCATACCTAGCCTGCTATTCTCAGGCTAGGCGTGAAACCTGGTAGATAGATGACTAGCTCGGGATGGTTGGGGGCTATTTGTTTCATGATTCGGGGGCAGCCACTACTGTTGATTGTGAACATCAACCGAGGACTGGGCCGGGAAGATGACCAGGATATATAAGGCTTGGATGTCAGACTGGCTGTGTTAGCTTGGGGGCCTTATAAAAAGCCCCTAAGCCCCGGTCTCTTCTATCACACTTTGTGTGACCGGCTTGTGGCCGGCTCTACTGCCACAAACCTGTATCTTGGTCGTCTCGACTTTGTGATCTGGATGAGTTGGCAGCCAGCTCCGTGAGAGGCAACTGGCAAAAGAGATGGGGCTGTGTTGAGTTCAATCTTGGAACAGTCGAGAAGAAGAGCCGCACTCGCTTTGTCACATGTAGCAAGTGCTTCATAATGGGTTGTCAGGTAGCATGCCGGGTAGGCGTTTCCGAACTGTGGCATGTTGTGAGGCTAAGGAAGGGGCCTAGGCTACAAAAATACTGACCCTGGTCAAGGACTTGGTGCAATTTCATGTTGCGCCTCTCCCGGACCCTGGCACCAACCTGGTAGAAGTGATTTGGCATGTTGGATCAATAATGCCCATGCTCCGCTATTATATGATGAGCCTATCGAGTCTGTTGCGGACCGGGGGCACTCGTCTGCCTATTCCATTCTCTGTATCCGTACTCCGTACTTGACCGTTGGTCTCTGTAAGTGGAGAGTAGAGGTTGAATTGATCCAGTTGGCGACCGGATTGGTCAAATACTATAGTTTTGCCACGCGAGATTCTGTACAGGGTACAGAGTATCCGTACAAGACCCTAATGACTCGGGAACTCGTGTCGTTCACGTCCTTTGCGTCAGAGAATCCCACCGATCGAGAGAACCTGAAGGTCATGTGCTCAGTGCTGACCTCGCTCGCTCTTTATTGGTGTGCAGCAATCCTTAGGTCGTGTAAGAGCGTCACCTCTGATGCAAGGTCGACGGGTGTTCAGTGGTAGGCTCTCGAAATGTGTAAAGGCCAGAGAGAGTATTGATCTCGCGGCATAGCCTGTAGGGCTATGAAACAGCCCTCCCAAAAGGACGCAGACTCTGCTACCCAACAACATTTCCGGCGCCTTTGTGATACCACAGCCAGCCTGTGACAGGTGCAGAATGTCTGGTTGAAACAGCAGATCGCATCCTGACCCGAGAGGTCGTCCTTAAGCTGCCGCTGTAGAGCATCCGTGTGTGGATTGTAGGACTCTGTCCGTTTCATTTTTGCCCGGCTTCACTTGGCTTCTTCGGCAGGTTGACCAGTCTGTTCCAATTCCTTGTCTCTTGCTTGCTTGTCAAAATTCAGCCCCAGATTTTCCCATTCATCCTTTGCCATCAGCCCTCTCTCCATTCGACAGCCCAAGTATTCCTTTGCCAGCAGTCTGCATTCTTCGTTATTCCTCCCGGGAGGATTTTGCCTTCTCAGACACCGCAGATAGGAGGAGATTAGGTATTTGCATTCAGCATCGTGGTCGAGTGGGAAAGAACCACGCTCTGGAGGGGTGGGCTTGACGTTGAGGGCGCCGCCGCCGGGAGCACCGAACCCTGACATCGATGCGCCTTGCAAGAAAAAAAGACACGGGGTATATCAGCGATAGTAGTTAATGGCGGTGTAAGTGACACATGCAAACTCGACGGTGTACAACGATGCTGTCGCGGTTTGAACAAAGAAAAGTCGACGATTGAGCAGCTCAGTACAAGTGGTTCCACTACGGAGTACGGATACAAAAGTTCATTACACGTGACAAGTTATTGTTTCAGCACCGTATTACCATGTTCATTCCACAGTATCATTCACTCGAACCAGGATCTATATGAAGATGCAAGATAGCTATCAATCTGTTGGAACCCCATATCTGGAAGGACGTCGTGAGCGTGCTTCTATCTGTCACCAATCTGGGTCCTCAGACACCTCTTTCATGGTACACCTCCGCGCGAAACTTATATGCCTCTACTTTTGAGATCGACGACTATTGAGCAATCAGTATCAGAGATCTTCAACAAATCGCGAGAATGAGATGGGTGATCGGGTGTTGTCAGTTCTCCAAGGTGATGTATATTCGACACGGATATTCAGCAAGAACACAGCGAATACATTGAGATTCATCAGGAAAGGGGAGACCAAGGGGAATGGGATTCCTCACCTATTATATCATGACTTTACGGTCTATGCAGACATACACACCTCACCTAACCAGCAATAGTCAGTTCCAGTGTCCAATAGAAATCAACAAAGTGTTCAATCGACAGAATGAAGCATCTATTTCAGGCTGTCAGCCGTCTGTCAGCAAGTGCGACCTCTCGATGTCCACGGCGAGACGACATACCTCATTAAATCAGAATTTTCAGTGTTTAACGTTCATGCCCGGGCATTTGCTCGGTTCAAACAGTGTGAATAGTGTTCATCATATGATGCGTGGATGGAAACGACGTATAAAAGCATAGATCATTACCTATGCATAGCGCTGTCAGCACGTTTCGAGTATCAAACCATACATATGCAATTCTTCAAGATGTAGATCAGCTGACGAGTTCTCAACAAGTGTCACAGCCTCCAGCACATCCACAAGATTTGTACGTCCTGCTTTTACGGATGCGTGAGGTTGCGCACGCAATCTGTCCGCCCGTTCGTTCAAGTGTTCGTCATGGTAGGCAGAAGGGGATAGCATTCGCAGGATGGTTGGGAGGAATGTACCTAATAGGTAGTTGCAGTTAGCGTCAACGCCTGCAAGAATGATGGAAGGATAGGAAAGAAGGTCGCCAGTCAGACAAGGCTGAAACTTGTAGTAGGACAGATTCCACATGGGTATTAAGTCTGAGGAATGCCTTTCGTGTCATAGGGTCATCACCGGCGAGGGAAGAAGTTGTATCGTGTGTGTACCTTTTATTTTGAACAACATTGTGTTCACAAGCCGCAGCAAGATAACATCATGCACCTGTAGCACCTACTAGGATGACATGTTAGCCTTCTCCCACAGAAGGTAGAATAGAATCGACGTAGAAAACAGTCAACATTCAGCGGTTTAATGAAATTTGATCCTCAGAGAACAAAAGCCCTCGGAGTTGGATTGTAAATGTTCATCATTTGAAGGGCTTTTCAACATGCAGCAAGGAGCTTACCTGAGGCGCTAGACAAGAGAGTATGGTGGTGTTGGTGAGTCGAAGAATATCTAAGAACGTGTAGAAAACAGACTGAAGAAAATACCAGTAGTATGTCGCAGGCCTTGGCATCTCGCCGCTTTTGTGACAAAAGGATGCGAGCTTCTACTCCGCCATCCTTGCCCAGCCTCGACAACACTATCCGTACTAGGTACAGTAGTATTGGCATGGGAAGCGTAAATAAATACAGCTGATGTGACGTCAAAGCATCGGCCCTCGCTGGTGAAACGCCTCATAAATATAGACCTAGGATTGTATCATAGCAGGATTCAGACTCAAAGCGATCAACATGATTCGAGTTATATGGAGACCATAATAGCCTCTCAAGTAGTAAGAAAGAAAGCATGACCACTCCAAAGTGCCTGTTCGCAGATATGCACGAATTCCCCTAGTTACTATCCCAAACAACTGAGCTGAAACACCCAGTCACTCCGAATCCAGATATGGAATCAGACGGCACCCACTCCAATCACGCGAAATGTTTTCAAACTTGGACTCTATTCCCAGGTCTCTCTTCGTATGGTCCGGAATCTGCTCCATGAATCACGGCCGTTTCTGTGGCCTCGCGCTGATCAGGCAGACCAGGCCCAGTAATGTGCTGCTCAGCCGACTCCAAGTCGTGTCGACGCGCCAACTTTGCCGTTTCCCACCCTTCATCTCCGACATAGTTCGCGCGGCCGACTCCCAGCCAGAAGGCGCGTTCACGGCTCCTTGCACCCCAAGCCCATCCACTGCCTCCTCGAATCGGGAGATGGTACCAGCGGAAGCCAAACCAGGCCATGAAAATACCAATCAACGAGCCGGAGATGATATCGAAGCCGTGGTGTCGGTAATCGTACCACCGCGATAGTGAGATAAAGAACGCGACGCCAATGGGGACAAATGCCAGGATCAGTAAATAAATCGGCGGCGCAGCGGCCTCGTTGCGGGGAGGGATCGGGTGATGATCAGAAGAGAAGCTGGATGAAGGCAAAGATGCCTTGGACCGCGGATGATCATGATCGCGGTTGTTTTCTTCCTCAAAAGTCGAGATGTGGCCACGGCTGTTTGGTGTAGATGTCTGTGGTAGAAAGGGAATCTGCACGGCGAACTTGGCGCAGAGAAATAAAGTGAGGTATAGCATGCCAGCCCAACTGAAACTCGAATGGCCCGACGGCCAGCTCGCGAAGGCATTACGCATCTTGTCCTTGTCGGTATTGCGACAGATGTGCCAGTCCACCACGACCGGCACGGCCGAACTCAAGGATGTTCCCAACCCGCCGACCTGGTATCTTCGGATGGCTTCAGGACTGGTATCCGGGTCACACACGGCCAGCATGAACGGCCGCGGTTTTCCAGTAAGGTCCTTCAGACCCTCTGTGATCATGAATGCTCCAGCAAGCGCAAGTCCAAGTCCCATCCACGCGGTATTCCATTCCCATATCTTGCGGCGCCAAATCAGTGCTCTGGGCGTGGAACGGTGCGCTGTCGGGCCTGGGACGAATAGCAACGAGATGATGGCGGTGATGACGCCGGGTGCAACGAGACCCACGACGATCAAGACAGCCGTTGACACTGTGTCTCCATGGTAAGGGAACGATATGTTTGGATCCTGTAGCGAAAATGCATGTCTTGCCCCATCGATCTGGCTGAAGCCGCCACCGACACCTGCCGTGCCCCTGCAGCCACATGTTAGTTTACGCCTGTATCAGCAGCGCGGCAGGTATATGTTCGGTATGGCCGCTGCGGAGACGAGACGTACAGTATCAAAATCCAGTCGAAGATATAAGAGACAATGAGTCGCTTGGAGACATGCCTCACGCGACCAGCGACGCTGTTCACCGTCTTTGCAGCAGCCACCATTTGTGCTAAGTGAGCATGCGACACAAGTTCACCGAGCCCTAAGAGAGGTAATTCTGAGGTGCGGTAGTACCATTACCAGGTAGTAAGGTATTCTGTACTTTGGGGACCACGAAGCCAGGGTTGTCGGAGTCGCTCGGATGAGTTTGATGATTACCAGTACTACTCCGGACAGGCACGTCTTGTGTACTCCGTACTAGTGCAGAGGCCTCCTAAGTGCTAAGCCTCCTAAGCTTACGCCTCAGCCGACTGTCATCGCCCCCCGCAACCCCAATCAGAAGTTGATATGCATACTTCAAACCACTATGCAATTACCCAGGCAGATAGAAACTACGACGCAATTGAAATGCCGCAGAAGTAGAGCAGCTCGTGCATACGCAGGAAATGTGTATGGGTGCTAATTCGGCTGTACATACGTATTCTATTTCTTCCCATCCAGGTCGGCATAGAAATTCCACCCAAACGACTCCGAGGGATCGTTGAACCTCAGTTTCTTGTCGAGCGCGTCGACTTTCTGTACGTCATCCGGATCAAGCTTGAAGTCCCCGTCAAGGTTGGCCTTGATGCGCGCAGGGGTTTTGGATTTTGGAATCACGCTGTGGCCCTTCGCAATACCCCAAGCCAAAGCCACCTGGGCACCGTTCTTGCCATACTTCCTGCCAACGTCGGTGAGTACCGGGTCGTCGATAAGCTTCGGCACATTCTTTCCATCTTCATAGACAGGGTTGGCGTTGCCGAAGGGCGAGTACTGTGTGACATGAATGCCCTTCTCCTTATGCCATTTCACGAAACCCGGTTGCTGCAAATAAGGGTGGCATTCGATCTGGTGGGCGGCCGGGACGATGGAGGTCTCTTTTAGTAAACGCTCCAGCTCTGCTTTTGAGAAGTTGCTAACGCCAATTGCTTTAACTTTGCCCGTTTCGACAAGCTTCTCCATTGCCTTGTACGTGTCCACATAATCGGTTTTGCCGGCGAGGATCTTATCACCGTCCTTGGGGAAGAGCTTGTCGCTCTGCGCGAACGGACTGGGCCAGTGCATCAGATACAAGTCGATGTAGTCGGTTTGAAGATCTTTGAGGGACGCGTCGCAAGCCTTCTCCACATCATCCGGATGGTGTGAGTTGTTCCAAAGCTTTGTGGTGATGAAGATATCGCTGCGTGGCACGCCGCTCTTCTGGATGCCTCGGGCTACACCGGGCTCGGTACCGTAGACTCGTGCCGTATCGATGTGTCGGTAGCCAGCCTTCAAGGCTTCGAAGACTGCATCTTCCTGCGATTCTTTATCCTGCCATGTCCCGAATCCAATGGCTGGAATCTCGGCGCCGGTGTTCAGCGGGAACTTTGTCTTTGTATAACCTGCAAACATCCTCTTCTGGCCTGATAAATGCGCTGATAACTGGATTAATCTTGAAGGTGCCAGTGTGTTGAATCGAAACAGCATGATTGATCTTTGTCTGAAAACGCAGCTGGAACGCAAAGAACACCGTGCTTGGTGCAATTGCAATGAGGTTGGTTGATGACGCTATCACTCCGAAGCTCCACGGGGACGTGCCGACTTTGCCGTCACTGCCACTGGTGCTGCTGACGATTGTGCTGACGTTTGCTTGCTACGCGATTGGAATCTTTATCTTTATGGGGGAAACAGTGTCACGGTGTGTCATACAGGCGCGGGGTGGGTGGTGACTACTACTGTTCCTGGTGCTGATGTCACATCTCCCACCACACCACAAAATATCGGACATGAAATCCGTATATGGCCCCAAACCATCTTGACTGCTGCCGTATTCGGCTGATTGCTTCGAGTTCCTCACTCAAGACACTACTAGGTAAATGTGGGATCCTGGATTCTGCAGCTACATACATACCTAGGTACTGATGCTATATTCCGTATAGGCACGGCTGCGATGCCCGAGCCGCATGAACATCTGCTTATGGCATGCTGGCTGGAGCGACCATTGCATTACAGGCATCGCGGGATTGCAATGTGCCCTGATAACTATCCTTTGCTATTGTCCAATCCCACCTGACTACACCTTTCCCCAGAGGACCGCGGTTTCTGACCACAAAGGAAGATGTGACATTTTCGACAAGCAGGCAGCAGAAGGCTGAGAGCCGGATGCATCACTACAAATGAGAATGAGACGAGATGCTACATCCTATCCGCGCACGGACATGGCAGGATAGACAAAGCCCTTGTCCTTCCAAGCCAATCGATGTGCGTGTTGGCACTGTCCCCTGCTGGGCCAGGCTGCTCTCCGTTGGCCTCGAAGCCTTGCATTCTTTCTCCGTTGTCAGGGAAAGCGCCATTCTTACTGTTAGCGGACGCCAGCTTCTGGGCTCACTTGCTATCTTGGACATAATGACACGAGAGAACAAGCCCATAACATCCTCGAAGTTCTGACTCTTCCTCTCGAGTGCGCTCACGACCTCTTGCTGTTAGTCCGCCCCAGAGAAAATGGCGGATCAAAGCCCCCAAGACGAGCGGTTCCATACGATATCGCGGTTTTCGACCTCTTCGTCGCTCAGGAGGTCTTCCGCAGTTGACACCAGTATGCAGATCGTTCCCATGCCACGCTGGTCGACAGCTGTGGGCTGCGCAAGATTTGCTCTGGCAACTCTCTTCCTCGTCTTCACCTCAGCAGCTACCGCCATTTGGGGAAGCTATCCAGCTTTTGGCATTGCCCTTTTCACTGTACGTCTGCACTGGGTACTCGAGAGCAACTGGAGAGCTAAAAGTTGCTAGTCATTGGCCAGCTTGATCATTTTTGCCTATTATTTCGTCGCTCTATCCTGTAAACCAGCCCTGTACAACCGTTGGGTTGTACTTAGTCTCGAGATCTTCGGGGTAGTCTTCTGGCTGGTCAGTTTCGCCCTCTTGGCCGACTGGACCAGCTTCCACAATCGCCTCTGGTTTGGTCATGGCGGTAGCTACGGCTTCTGGCACGCCTCATTTAGTCCTTCAGACATCGGCCTTCGGACAAGGGATATTGTCAAGAGGAGCACCAACAAATACCATGCTGGAGTTGCCTTGGCTGGAACGGCTGCAGTCCTGGGCGGGGCTGAGTTGTAAGCTCACTGTCCTGTAACATCTTGCGGCAAGCATCTTGCTAACCATTCCGTGTGGCAGTGTCCTCTACTTGGTGACACTGATTGTCTTCGGAATATCGTTGCACCATCAGCGTATGGAATACAAGGATCCTGTCGCTCCCCCTGGGCCTGCTGCGGCTCCCTCCGATACATCAGAGACAGGCAAGGCAGACGGGATAATAGAGACGAAGCCTGAAGCAGGATCAGCAACGGTCTGAATGTTCTTGAGTGAGCGCTATATAGATACCAAAGCAATCTGGGCCCGGTCTCTGATGTCCACTCTCGTCACATGTCACCATACATTCAGCTGACTGCAAGTTCCGTCTGCCATTTCCATCTGGTACTCCGTGCATGTCCGGACACTTGTCGGAGCGGACATGTCGGAGGAGCCGGACATAGGCCGGAGAAGAGGCACGTGCCCAGGCTGCTTACACCGGCCGCCGAGTTTCCATTAGCAAAATTTCACCGACATCTCCATCTTTGCAAATCGGCCGCCAGTGCTCGCGTTCCTGCTAGAGGCGGATGTGTACGATGATTTGCTGGAGCCATGAAAACGATGAGGTGCTCGTAGTCGACTGCCCTACAAGTGCGAGCTCGGGCAGCTGGACCACATCTCACATCACGGCTGAAGTCACTACACTTTTTTGGGTCGGCATGTCCTCGTTGAACTCGTCTTCTTCTTACTCATCTCATACGCGTTTCTTCGATGTTGCCTTCTAGCCCTTGTTCGGTTCCTTTTTCTAGTTGATATATAGGTGCGGTCCGTCCAGCCTCAGCATGCAGTGTGAATAAAATAGCAGCTACGCTCGCTTCCATTTCCTTCACTTTTCTCACGTCCGGCCCGATCCAGCCGAAGCCTTCCCTGCCTCATCAAGCCATGAGAGTTGGTGGTTTTGTAGGGGTGTCAAATCCCCCGCACGACACTGACACACAAGAATCGAGGACGTCCTCAGATGATACTGCCGCCCAAGAATACGGTCCCCCCGAGAAGAGACAGAGACGTACCGATCCATATGATGAGGAGTCTTTGGATGATCGAATCGAGCGGCTGGGAAGGGAGCGTCCCTCCTGCTTCAAGACGATATGGTCGGAGATTGCCTTCGTCTTTAGCATCGTCATGTCGCAGATCTTGACCGAGTACTTTGTCTCTGGTTTCAACGTCATATTACCCAAGCTCATCATCGAGCTTAAGATCCCCCAGTCGTCGAGTGTCTGGCCGGCCACCGCTTTTTCTTTGGTCATTGCAAGCACTCTGTTGGTTTTTGGCAGATTAGGAGACATGTTTGGTGGGTATCCAGTCTACCTCGCCGGTCTGGCATGGCTGGCGGTTTGGAGTCTCGTCTGCGGGTTCAGCACCAACGCGCTCATGATGGACTTCTGCCGGGCGCTCCAGGGGTTTGGAGCGGCGGCCTATTTACCAACGGGCGTGATGCTGATGGGAACCGTCTATCGCCCGGGCCCTCGCAAGAATCTGGTCTTTGCCCTTTACGGTACATTTGCCGTGGTCGGGTTTTTCTTCGGCATCTTCTGTGGTGGCATTGTTGGCCAGTTCCTCAATTGGGGATGGTACTTCTGGATTGGTGCCATCCTCACGGTGGTCAGTCTGGCGACCTCGGCCTTGTCTATCCCCAACGATCGAAAAGAACGGCAGCACAATGGGATTGTCATGGACTGGCTGGGCGCTGCCACCATCGTCTCGGGATTAGTTCTCGTCGTCTTTGCCATCACCGAATCAGCCCACGCCGAATTGCGGTGGCGGACGCCCTACATCGCCACACTCTTCTGCGTCGGATGCGTTCTTCTGTTGGTTGCGGTGTACGTGGAGGGATGGGTCGCCAAAATGCCGCTGCTGCCGAGTGACATCTTCACGGTACCATGCATGACTCAACTGATCGTTGCTACGCTTTTGCTGTACGGGAACGCAGGTATCTTCCTTCTGTATGGGACGCAGTACTTCCAAAACATCATGGGTGCCAGCCCGATCCAGGTTGTTGCCTGGTATACCCCCATGGTGGTAGGCGGGCTCGTCCTGAGTACCGTGGAGGGATTTATCCTCCACCTGGTCTCCGGCCGGCTGCTGCTGATCATCTCGGGTCTAGGAGCAGTAGGGTCTCAGCTGCTACTCGCCCTGGTACCCAAGGGGGGTAACTACTGGGCGTGGATTCTTCCTGCCACGTTCCTCGCCACTGTGGGCATCGACATTTCCATCAACTTGATCGCCGTCTTCATTACTACGCAGCTACCCAAGGCCCGGCAAGGATTAGCAGGAGGCCTCCTCAATTCCATCCTCCAGCTCGGCTTTGCTTTGGTGCTTGGTGTCTGCGACATCATCCAGTCGTACACCGTGGAAGAGGACGGACTACGACAGAGCTACAAGAACACATTCTGGATGGGAGTGGCTCTCGGTGGCGCCAGTCTGGTTCTGGTGACAATCTGGGGCAGAGTCCCAAAGGCGAAGAGCGATCTCACTGCGGACGAGAAGTTGGAGCTGCAACGAGAAGTTACAAACATGTCGTCAGCCTCGGTACCGATGCCATGAAACGAATGTTGGAAGGGGCGAACTGGGTCAACAGAACAGTCTTCTTTGAGCACGGCGTTGTGGGAAGGCTGATCTGATACTTGGAAAAAAGGGAACATGTTATAGATAATGTCAATGCACATAGAGGAGAGCGTGTTGGCTGGTTCTTTGATGTATGAAATGGCCAAATTCACGATCCTAACCGGTGCTATATGCTGTAGTATTCCCACTACCACTACATTGTTCATGGAGTCTGCCGGAAGGGGTTGGTGAGATCCTGGCCGGCCCAAAAGGGCCTAGCGCCGTATGTTAATTGCGGTTCCAGGTTCCAGTCATCGGCCACTCATCACTCACCACTCACCACTCACCACTCACCTGCAGCCCTTGTGCTCCAGATTGACATCTGCCATCTGACATCTTCTATCACTTCTCCTCTCGACTTCACAGCAAGGAAGCCTCTGCCTGCATCAACGCAGATCAGTGAGCAAATGGAACTAGCATACTCACTCAATGATAAGACTCACCAGCACTCATCACTTTGTGCGGTTTGATCCTTGTTTGGGCACCCCATCAGAACACTCAAGCCCACGTCGTCTTGGGCAACGGCATTCAATTCGGGCTTCCTCAGAATGAAGCATTGTTGCACTGCCTCGTTTGCCGCAATGGGCCGATTCGAGACCGCCAGTGACAGTGACAATGACAAAGGATGGCAAAGACAAAGGATACAGGCAGGCTAGTCGAAATACCTTGACCAAGATCCTGACGGCCGGCATCTCGCTGGTCCGCCTTCGAAAGGATCGAGCATCAGCATCGTCAATGTCGCATCCTGGACCACAATCTGCGTCGAAGCAGACTTCACTCACTACCCATCGACCCGATCCTGAAAGCCATCTACCTCTACCTCAAGCGTCGAAGATGATGGATGATTCTGATCAACAACGACATGCACTTCGACAAGCCATTGAAGGTGGCTCATTCTGGACGATACCTGACCTGGAACTTCTCCGCATGATACGGCGCGAATTTCCCAAGGAGCTAGAGCGCCTTCGGAATGCCACATTCTTGCGGGACCCGAATGCGCCGCGTCCCAAAGGCCTGTCCATCTCAGAATCGCTGTATGGTCAAGATTACGCCGAGGTCAACCGAACACTTGTCGGTGTCCTAGCTCTCCGCTGGCTGTGGAATAACCAGTATGAAACTTTCGTGGGAAGCCAAAGTCCAGCACCGGTGGTTCTGAAGCATGAATCATTTGACTGGCTCAGGAGTCTCTTCAGTGGCAAACTCAGAAGTCCCGAGGACATTTATACCCTGATCACGTCGATGGTCATCAACGATCTCGGCAAAGACCCCGATCTCGCGACCGACTACGCCAGATTGAAAGGGATTGACATCTCCAAAGTCAATCATGATATGATCCTCTATCATGCCGCCGGGGCCGGACTGGTCCCTGCGCTAAACCGCCTGACGAAACAGAACCGTGATGTTCTGCTCGCGGGCATGAAACTGGGCTCTGACTTCAATTTTGGACAACTTGCCCAGGCGGAAAATGCCCCCGCCTCGTTGGCGGGGCTGCTTCAGATGCACGGTCACGACTGGGCCTTCGAGATGAGATTTATGGAGCAGGTGCTCGATCTGGCGGGAGCAGCTGGACATGAGGACTGGACGTACGCGAAGAAGATGATTGAGCCGATTTTCCAGTCGTATCGGAACGTGTACGACGTTGCTCACGCCATAATTGGCGGGAAAACAGGACTCCGGGCAGGATATGATATCATTCTCATGCGGAAGCTGGAACTGCTGCACAAGACGGGATATCCGCGCCAATTCGACATCCGAGTCCCAGCGGACAGGGCCACACTACGGCTGTTTTGTTTGGGCAACACGATCCATGAGCAGAATGCGGACATGTACTTTGTCGCCTTTACACAATCCGTATCGGAGGAGATCCGGCACACGTTGATCCACGGGCTCAATGTCGACGGATCGGTCGACGAGCCGGCTGTTCAGCCGACATATATGCCGGCGATGCTGACCAAGGCCGTAGGTAATACGTCGAACGGCACGCACGAGGAAAAAACCCAAGCCATCGTTGCCCTGTTACGCTACTTGGCTCGGTGCCTGGTTGTCGATCGCACGTCTCTAGAGAAGCTGCCCCGGGGTGTGACTGTCATTGAGAGAGACGTGAGGAAAATCTCCCCAGTCTTGGACAGCAAGACGTTCAAGGAGAACCCCGATGTTCTGGACGGAGAAGACATTCCTGAAGACCAGGTTGCCAACCTTGCCCCGGAGTATGGGTTCAGGTTAGAGGTGCAGTAAAGCCTAAGAGCGCGAGAGCGTGAGAGCGTGAGAGCATGAGAGCGTGAGAGCGTGTTGGATAGTTTTGAGGCGCGGTAAAGGGAGTCAAATTTCCAAGTTTGTTATACCTTATCTATTGAAAATGGTCACCACACGTACACCACTTGACGTAGGTGGTCAACCGAATTGCCTGGGTAAACATAACGGTCCAATCCATCCCTTTCCACCTGGTTGAATGGCACCGGCTGTAGAAGACACCGACACTGACACTCGGCGAAGACGGTTACCAAGGTTAGCAGTAGTAGTAGCAGCAGCAGTACCACTACTAGCGACGTCCCCTACCTACCTACCTACATATCCGTACCTCATGTCTTCTCTGTATTCTGTACTCTGTAAGCTGTTAATCTACCGGGCAGGTACTCCGTGTTTGGTGCGTGTATCCATACTCCGTACTCCGTACTTGTACTCGAGCTTACCTAATACCTTATCTTATCGCACGAACCTCGGCTGCCAAGGATCAAGACCAGCCCTAACCTGAAGTCGGCCTAGTGTCTCACCTGGTGACTTCAGACTACATAGTTGCCGTAAATTTGCCGGCCACCAAGTCATCTCCGAAATCCGAAATCCGGACTCGGGATCACCAGGATGGCATGGGATGCTTATGTCAACTTTCACGTGTGCGCCCTTCAGCCTTGCCCGCTTTTTCCTCTTATCGCGTTTTACTGTCTTTTTTTTCTCATGTGCTCACTCACACCGACGCCAGCACTGACAGACCCACCAGAGATGGACCAGAGAGCTATTGGCATGCTCGCCGATTCTTGAAGGGCCGCCATGGCTGTGCCGGCATAAAGGATGCCGAGGCAGTTCTGTCTTTCATGTCTGTCGCTACATGTATCCTATCCCATGTCCTCCGTAGGTACTCTGTATTTAATTTGCCACGAATTAATTGCTCGAGGAGTTGTTGTTTCCCTCCCCCTTCACCTTTCCTCATCTTGCTCGAGAAGTTGTTTCCCTTCCCCTTCCTTCGTCTTGCTCGATATCTCTGTGTCTCTGGGTCCGTGCAAAGAAGGGCGTGATTTACGGTATAAATCTGAAGCTGCGCTGCGTCTCCGTCTCGACATTGACTGGTCCGACCTCGACCTCGACCTTTCAGTCTTGTCGCTCTGTCCGCCTCTCAGAGTACTCGCTCGTCTTCTGGCAGAATACGGATACTGTGATCACCATCACCATCACCCTACCCATTATCATCTCTGGTTCCTCCATCTCGTGCTTCTGAAACCAGTCTTCGACAGCCTCCCACCATGCCGAGCCACTCTCAGCCGTCAGCCACAAATATCCCCCCGACGCCGTCGAGCCCTCAACTGGCCGAGGTCAGCGCGGCGATAGTCAAGCTCCTCAAACAACCAGGCTATGATGACGGCAGCGCCGGACCCGTGCTGGTTCGGCTGGCGTGGCACAGTGCCGGCACCTACGACGTGACGACCAACACCGGAGGGTCGAACGGCGCGGGGATGCGGTACGAGAAAGAAGGCGGCGACCCTGCGAACGCGGGGCTACAACACGCGCGGGCCTTTCTCGAACCCATCAAGCGCCAGTTCCCGTGGATCACGTACGCCGACCTATGGACGCTCGCGGCCGTGGTTGCCATCAAGGAAATGGACGGGCCGGAAATCGCATGGCGCGGCGGCCGCACCGACTTCACAGACGAGAGCCGCTGTCCTCCGCGCGGCCGACTCCCCGACGGCACGAAAGGCGCCGACCATCTGCGCTGGATCTTCTACCGCATGGGCTTCAACGACCAGGAGATCGTGGCGCTGTCGGGCGCCCACAACCTGGGCCGATGCCACGGTGACCGGTCGGGCTTCGAGGGCAAATGGGTCAACAACCCGACGCGTTTCAGTAACATGTACTTCAAGCTGCTGCGCATCCACGACTGGAAGAAGAAGAAGCTGGCCAACGGGCTCGAGCAGTTTGTCTATGTCGACAAGGACCTCGAAGCTGATTCCGATGTCGACGGAGAAGAGCCCGAAGAGCTCATGATGTTGCCCACCGACATTGCTTTGCTGCACGACCCGGCATTCCGCGTCTGGGTCGACAAGTACGCCCAGGACAAGGACCTGTTCTTCCGCGACTTTGCCAACGTCTTTGCCAAGCTGCTCGAGCTGGGCATCCGCCGCGACGAAGTCGGTAGAGTCGTCAACCAGGACAACCTGGACGGCGGATATAAGAGCGCGCCCAAGAAACCCGACCATGCCACCCATCCCGCCGACCAGAACAAAGGCCAGATCGGCCATGAGGCCGGGCCGTTGCGGGAAGCCAACATCAAGTCGAAGCTGTGATTGTGACCGACTCGAGTCTAAGCTGTGACTGTGACCGACCTCAAGTCCAAGCTGTAACTGTGACTGTGACCGATAATCAACAAGCATGGGAGGTAACGATAACCGACAAGCATGAGAGGTAACCGATAACCGACAAGCATGGGAGGGGGAGGGAGAGGGAGGCTACGGCGCCCCTGGCGACGGATTGGATCAGGATCAACCGAGCTCGTGGACTCGTGCCGGATCAGTCGCATTCCACAGACCGCGCAGGATTGTTGACCACCTACGCAAGAGCACCATCCATGTGTATTTACACGGCTTGGCTCGATTCAATCCAGTCCGATCCGATCCGATGCTATGCCACGCCATGCCATGCCATGCCATGTGAAGTGAAGTGAAGTGAAGTGAAGTCAAGCCAGAAAAGATGCGATGGATTACTAGTTGTTCCAAAATCGGAACCAACGGCCGAAACACGAATGCGACCGCGAACGAGAATGCGACCGCGACCGCGCCAGACCGAGCAAGAACTGGTTGGCATTGGCCGCGCACCACGTGCCGCTGGCTATCCCGCAGTGATTGAGCATCTCTCGCTGGCCGGGCTGCCGGCTCTGCTCTTAGGAAACTTTCATATTCTCGTCCACGTTTGGCCGGCTGGCTCTGCTTCAAGGAGTCTTTCACGTTCACGTTGACGTTCACGTTCACCTTTGGCCGACCACACCCTTGCATTTCGACATTACGTTACGTTACGTTTCTCCATACATTGTCAGCGTTCTATTCTCGGTTGAAGCACAATATGTGGTGTGGGAAGGGGGAAATCAAGCTTTGAAGGCGCACCTCAACTCAACTCAGCTGGGTGCTTGCTACTTGCTGGTTGCTTCGTGCTGTGCTGCGCTGCGCTGCGCTGTGTTGTGCTGTGCTGTGTTGTGTTGTGTTGTGTGTGCTGTGCTGTGTGTGCTGTGTTGTGTTGTGTTGTGCCGTTCACCGGGTAGAGGCGCAGGCCTGGAAGAATTATGTATCCTCCCTAGACTTCTGGCCCCCGGGAACACTGTAGACATCAGTTGGATAGATAGAAATATAGACAATAGACATAGACATGGACATAGACACCGTGAGAGAGTGAATGAGTGACAGGATATCATATCTGAACTGAGCGGCAATAGGAAGAGGTCCAGAGACTTGACATGACTTAGTGACTTGATTTTAAATTCTAGATATAACCTAACCTGTGACGGGCCTCGAGTTTAGACATCTAACATTGCTGCCAGCGCTGACTCAATGGCCCTATTCCGCCGAGGATATGCATTCTATATCATCAGCCACCAACAATTAACACAGTCCTGAAAACCTCGACACCCTTGCACACTCCCATGCACTGTTCACGTTTCTACCAATGCCGAAGTGTGACCAAGACTCGTTTGTTTTCGCCCTTGTCATCCTCCACCCCCCCATCAAAACTCAACCCCATCTTGACCAGCATGTCCCATACAAACTTTCTTTTGAGACCCTCGCGCACCGCGATTCTCTCCAGAGCCTCCGACCCCGTAAAGTACTTGACGAAAATAGGCCAGTACCGTTGCAGCTCGGCTGTCTCAGTCTCGGTGGCCCCGACCAACGTCGAGCCGATGTAGTCGAGCCAGTGTGACTCTTCGGGCGAGGCGCGTTGGGGCGACAAGACCAGACTCGCAGCTTTGGGATTGTGTTTGGGTTGCTGCGTCCCGCGCGTGCTCGTCTGGTCAGTCGAGATGGACTGTCGGCCGTCGCTCGACGGGCGGCTTACCATGCTAGGTCGCTGCCTGAATGAGGAGACCAAGCTACTTGCCACTGTGGTGGGAGTGCCGCTGCCGAAACTTCGAGACATGTCACGATCGGAGCCATTGAGGTCGGCCGGTGGTTTGGCGCGGTTGGATTCTTCCTTATCTCTTTCCCGCACGGCTTTCTTCACTTCTGGATCGACGCGGACGAATGCAAATGTCCGAAGCTGCGTCACCCAGCCGTCGCGCATGAGCCAGGCAAGGACACGGTAGTATTCTTCCTTGTGATCGCTGCTGGGAATGAGTGTGCCGTAAGGTACAGGTGTCCCACTTAAGGAGTCGAGCATCTTGGGTAAGGACGGCATCATAGGAAATGTCGCCTCGTATGTCTTACACGCCGAGACAAGTTTGTTCATGTCTGCGTTCGGAGACACAATGTAGGTATCTCGTTGATGCAACGGAGGAATCGCTATTGCCCGCCGCCAGTAGACGAGATGGCGGGCCAGATGCTGGATGTCGCCTAATGTCATTTGCGAAGCGACCGAGATCTTATAAAAGGACTTGGTTGGTTTGGCTTTCGCGATGAAACTCGTCAACGGTAGGGCGAGTCGACCTCCGGCAGTTTGGATGTCCTTGAGAATCCTTTGTGGATTCGATTTGAACAAGAGAGTAAAATTCTTGGATAGCTGCAAAGCTCCGCCCGTTGACGTCGCATCCAGATCGGATGCCGTCGAAGCAGGATCTGTGGCGGTGGTAAGCCACAAGCCTGGCTCCAGCGGAGGCTCGCTGAGAGAAGGCAGGTATGAGGTTGAAGTAATAGGAGGGATCTGAAAAGACACGGATAGTTTGGAACTGAGTGTGATGGCAGCTATCTTGGACGCCGAGATGTTATCAAATACTTTGGCAGTAGCTGCTGCCAGAGACGACCTTCGGAGCATTTCTGTATACATCGCTTTGGTAGGCGACTGCTGTTGGTAGTGTGTAGATTTGATCGAGTGCAACAAGTCTGATTGCTCCCAGACATAATCGTGATGCGACTGCTCCCATTTGAGGACTTTGGAGAATTTCTTTGCAACATGATCATACATGTCTTTGACACGCAGTGTGTGCTCCAATGGTGGAGGGTCCATCACAAACACAGCGTGGAACATGGTCAGTTGGCTCTTGGAGGGCTCGGCCCCGCGGCGAGTCTTCTTGTCGGGGACCAGCCTGTCTGTAAGAGCATTGTCGCTCTCTGCCTCTTCATCCTTGTCATTGTCACTTGCAGTTGCGTCGGAGGACTGCTGTAAGCCTTCATCTTCTGCGGCCCTGGACTTTGTCGATCTGGTCTTGCGCCATGACCCGTCTTCACGGGCGTAGACAGGTCGGCCCAGGAACGTTAGGTTGTTGATTCCAAGCTCGAACCTGCGTTTGTGCCAGGCCCGGCCAGGCGCTAGTAGGCTGACCAGGCCATCTTCTCCAAGACCAAGGAGCGGTTCCCACTGTGGTTTCCAATCTACATCATCCTGTGCAGCACTCTTGACCAGATGGTCATCGTCCTCCTCATCGGAGCGTTGTGACCGATTGTCGGTGTTTGCTGCTCCTGCATCCTGTACACGTGTCGTGAACAGTTCGAAGTCTTCCTCCGAAGAAGACTCCCCAGAGTCACTGCTGGAGCTCTCTTCCTCATCGTCGTCCCTGGACCTCAACGCAGGCGAAGCACGATCTGGGGACAACGGGTCCGGAGGATAGTGGAAGACAAGCTGAGCGCCTGATCCAGTCCGAGTTTGTGCAACAAGGAGAATCGCGAGGAGAGAGGGGTTGAGAGAGGTTGCAGCGGTAGCCATAAGACCTTGTGTCGTTCAACCAATATCTGGGCATGCTCCGGCACGCTAATTGTCACGACCCTTTGACCATCCCGTTTATCCGTTCAGGATCAGAATCGCAAAGGCAGCAAGTCGTCCCTCACTGTTGAACAATCCGTGGTTGAACTAGCCCCGGCCTCAGAGTAACATGTAGATCCAGCCATGCTCCATGCGGACGAGTGGGCACCAACTCATGGAAGGATGGAGGCTTCGGTGAACATCATGGGACGGGCAGTCTGAGGTGTCTTCGGGTTTCGTTGTGCTTAGCCAATGGAGGAAAGACTCGGGCCAATTCGTATCGAGGTAGGAAGCAGGCGGCGCAGGCGGTATTGGCCAGAGCTGGGAGGAGGAGGATGAGGAGGAGCAGCAGCAGGCAGCACAGCAGTTACTGGTTACGGCCCCCGGGTGACTGGTGACTCTACGGTAGTAGCGCTGGCAGGTGAGGATAGTCAACAGTCACGGTAACGACCAGCCCAGTATACTTGTCGTGATTTACCAGTGAAGTCGAGGTGGAGAGGGGCATCTTTATTTGGCTGCGGCGCGGTCGGCAGTCCCCAAAATGCCGCGCTAGGAAATCGAAATTCATTCCATAGCTTGACGAAAAAGACTTCCACTCTACCCACAAACCAAACTGCTCCCTCTCACAAACCTCTCTTCCCCATTATCCTGTTTATTGCTCCCTCCCTCGTCCGTTTCCTTGTTGTTGTTGTCGCGCGGCTTCGTCAGCCCGTACGTTTCTGGACGCTGCATCCACGGGGCTCGTCGCTTTGACCTCCACTCACAAAAGTTTCGGACCCTTCACCTCACCCTCATCGCACGATCTAACCCACGACCGTCAACCTCCCCGGTCGTTCACCTTAGGCCGTTGATCGTCCTTTTCGATTGTGTCACTGCCTCAAGACCGTTTGCGCCATAAGTTGTTGTCGCGAATTCCTCGCCGAGTCTGACTGTGTGGTGCATCAATCGGAGGAGAAAGTCTGCATTGCCTTACTAAAGGTCGACTTTCAGCATAGGCAATTTCAGTTGACAGACAACAAGGAAGCACCGTGTCTTGAAAGCTTATCCGCCCTCTCCGGAGCAGCTCTCGAGAGAATTGGTGGCGAAACTAGTCAAACGAGACGGTTGTTGAATCTGCAACGCACAAAGTCATCTGCCGTTTGCCGCCGGTCTCATACCCAGGGCTGTGGTGACTTGAGCATAAAGCCATATTCAAGAAAGAGTTGTCGCGTCACATATTATAGTGAGCTTCTACGAATCAAGACAATCCTGTTCACAGACCTTGCCATTGTTCTCACCGATCAGACACTGGCTCAACCTGTGAGGAAGAACGTCGATAACGCACAAGAGAAGTGTTCAAAGGGATACCAATTCTGTCAAGGTCAACTCTCAGGCTGTACTGGTCCTTTTAGTTTGTGACCAGCTTGTTGCTGGTGTGGGGATCAGTATTGTGGAAGTGGAATAGGAGGTGCAGATTTTCCTCGCGCTTCCGAGACAATGTCGACCACTTCGGGTGCAGGTGTCGCGGCGCCAGTTTTCTCATATGCCCAGGCTGCGAAAGGGCTCACGCCGTCAACATCGGCGCAGCAGACCCCGCGCAATGAAAGCCCTGCAGCATCCGACAAGGGTGGCAAAGATCAGTCTGTGACCGAGTCCAGCAGCTCTACATCAGCGATCAAATCTACCACCTTGAGAACAGAGTCCGATGACCAACCCAGTCTAAATTCTAGTGGCCCTAAGCCTTCTACTCCAGAGGTTACAGAAAAGGAGAATATCCCACCAACGCAGCAGAGTTTGGCCACATCTCATGACGATAAATCATCAATCGCTCAGACAAACTCAGCGACCCTCAATCCCGGTGAGGATTCCCAGAGAGATGAGGCCAGACCCTCATTGCAGAATGGACGTTCACATTCGGAGCAATCTTTGGAGTCCTCTTCACGTGACAAGGGTGCACAGAGTACTGTTGACAAGAAGTCCAAAGATGTGGACGATGACTGGGAAAACGTCTCAGTGCCTTCAATGAGTGCAGAGAAACCACTGAAGGCCGCACCGCCCCCTGTAGTCAATATTTGGCAGCAACGCAAGGAGGCCCAAGAGGCAAAGCTGAGAGAGCTCACTGAGCAGCAGCGCGCCGCGGTTCCTGCTATACCTCAAATACCCAAGTCTACGGGTGGGAGCGAGGATTCCAACCGCAAATCCATCGGCAAGGACACCAACAGCGGTGACAAAGAAGGAAAGAGTTTCGATACCACACGAGTCAACAACCGAAAGGATGCTCCCTCAGGCCGTTTTTCTCGTCTAGAGAAAGCTGATGCAGGGATTCCATCCCCAGTAGGAGATGCCCAGTCATGGCCAACCCCTGAGATTACGACCGTGGAAGAACGACGCAAGTCATCTGTTCATGAAAAGGTTGAAAAGCCAGACGCCAAAGAGCAACCGCAGAAATCGCACGGAAAACAGTGGGTCCCGATGCGTTTCGTTCCGACGGCTAAATTTGAAACCCAGCTTCCACCATCTGCCGCCCGTCGAGGTGGTAGAGGAGGCGCACGAGGGCGGGACAACAATGGCCGTGGAGGGCACACTGGCAGTCCTGGTGAAAAGCCAGATTTACCTGGGTCCATGGGCCCGCCTCCTCTACCGAGACCTTCGGGTGAACAAGACAGAGGCCGTCGATCTGAGGGCGCTCGTGGTGCACGTGGAGCATCCGTTCCGACCAACGGCACCCGGCCTGCGAGCCGCGATGAGTCCACACCCAGTTTCCGCAAACCTTCTGTGCCCGCCAGTAGGGACCCAGCAGGTGCCGATATTCCCGGCAATGCTGCTACTTCAATTCCACCAAACGGCGAAGACCAGGTGCCAAGAACAGATGAAAGTTCACGATCCTCTTCAAGGCACACTGGACGTGCTGGAGGCCAAATCGTGAATGGGGAAGGGCATCTCCCATCCGAGCAAGTTTCAGGTGGCTGGGGCCATTCTAGTGAGCCATCCGTTCGCCATTCATTGAATTTTGACCGATTCAAAGGCCCTGGCGCATCCGCTCCACGAGGAAACGGCGATTTTGCCCGTGATCGCGGAGCTGGCAGAGGTCGAGATTGGTCGAGAGACAAACCTGATTCAGCTCGTGAAAAGGTCGAGTCCTGGAGAGACCGAGAGCACTCTGGTGATCACAGCAACCGACGTGATGCTCGCCCTGACCGCGGACGTGGAGGTTTTCGAGGCAGAGGCACCCATTCCTACTCTCCAGCATTCGGATCTTCGCACGCCTACACGTCTCCCCTGCCCCAGAATGGATTTGAGCCAGCCAAGTCAAATTCTCACGGCGAAAGTCGTGCAAGGCAGGCCTCGCAACCGTACCAGCCGAGCCAACAAGCCGGCAGCGCCAGCGGAAACCCCCGATCTCAGTCTATCCCAGTGGGTATGATGTTCCCGGGTTATTACAATCCTGCGCAAGGTGTGGCTCAAGGTCTCCCACCTTTGCAGACTGATATGCAAGTCTATGGTTACCCATCTCCTGTGCAGATGCAGCCTGGTATCATGAGTGCTATGGCGTACAACGACCCCTTGAATTCATATGCGTTGCTGTCGATGGTCATGACTCAAGTGTAAGCTTACCTCCCACAACTTCGAACACATGTAACTGACACGATTCTTCCAGCGAATATTACTTTTCGATCGACAACCTTTGCAAAGATCTGTTTCTGAGAAAGAACATGGATGGTCAAGGCTATGTGCCGCTGAGTGTCATCGCGAACTTTAAGCGGATCAAGACCCTGACGGAAGACAACATGACGATAGACACACTCCGTTATGTGTGCCAACAGGTCAAGAGCGTGGAATTTCTTCCAGGAACTGACGGAAATGATCGACTACGGCGACGAGATAACTGGCGAGACTTTGTGCTTCCTGTCGAGGAGCGGTTTGAGTCAGCCCGCAATGATGGTCCCCTGGCTGTTCCCGAACAGTACGCTCAACAGCCACCACCCGAGCAAGGTGCCCCTTTCGACCCGTCTTTTGGCTTCGGCCAAGTGCGCAGTCCTCCACTGAACGTGGCTCCCGTCAACAACACCTTCCACACCGGCTCTCCCGTCTCCTTTGTCCCAGGGGCCGCAGTCGATGGACATGTGTCGGGCGGACCGTTTGTTCCCGCCTTTGAGGGCGTCCCCAATGAGGAGAAACATAATCCTTCTGCGCCGGCATATCCTCACGAGCTGAATGTGACATCGCCGTCAAATCCTGCTCTGGCATCGTTCACTCCCCTCACCAACGGCCATAATCGTCAGGGTTCTCGTGCCGACATTGAAGACGACCTGTTCCCCGACGAGCATATTCCAAACATCAATATCCGCATGCAGCCACGCTTCTTTGCCGGTCAAGAGATGACTGCATCGTTCACTCACATTGCCGAGGCACCTCCTCACGACTCACCTGGCGGGCCTAAGGAAGATGCTAACGGTCTCATTGAGCCGGAGCAATCACGTCTCCCAGGTCTGCGGGGAGGAGCAGGCAGCCCACAGCAGTGAGTTTTGCACCGATGTCCGTGGTCGCCACGCCATTAACGAATCAAGCAGACTTGCGCAATCCACCAGCTTGTCATTTGGATTTCCGAACGCCACTACGACTGGTGATGGAAACAGTATTATTTATTTTGCAAAAGACGGTCAGGAGACCCAGCTGCCACCGCCGCTGCTCGGACAATATGATCAAACGTATCAGTCATTGCACGACGTTGCATTTCAACAACGCCAGCTCGGTGTTGAGGGGGCCTTAGAGCCGCTTTATTCTTTCTGGAGTGATTTCCTGATGGATAAGTTTAATGTTGGCATGTATCAGGAGTTCAAATCCACTGCGGTCAATGACGTTCAACAAGGAAACGGCGGTGGCATGGCGCATCTTGTCCGTTTCTATGGAAAGCTCCTAGGGGGGCCCGTTCCAGTCAGCGAACGCCTTGCTTCTGACATGGTCGCGCTTTTGCGAGAAGACAAGAGCAAAGATCGTGCCATTTTCCATGCTCTACGAACGGCTTGGCGCAATGGGGCGACCAACCTGAAGACCATCAAGAGGTTGCGCGACGTCCTCACCGCTGAGGAGAAAGCCGATCTCGACAAGAGTGGCTAAGAGGGAAACACCTCTAACACTTATCTTCTCGACACTGCAGGTTCTAAGGTGTCATTATATCACCGACATGTCCTGGTTCATCTTCGCCATCCTGGAAGATGTGCACATTCAGACCAGTTATGTTGATGTTCTTCCAGCATCTCTCAACGGGGGTTCGAGCAGATCTTGACTGAGCGGCAAGATCGGAATGATGTTGGTCTCTTTCTACGCCCGGGATGATCAATGTGCTTCAGCATATGGCGGTCCCAGGTCATCACTTCGATTCGAATTCAACTGTACTTCAAGTTCGTCAGTCATACATCGAATTTTCTCATTCGGCAGGAGTTGGGGCTTTGCTGGGGACCTGTGCATGTCAGATTATTTCTTTTTTCCTTTTCCAATGTTTCGGACAGCATGGGCGGCGCGATGGCACGAGATATCAGTGCCGACAATCCAAAAGTCATGGCCTTGCAAACCACCGAATGAAGGCGCACCTGGCTGGGCCAAACACACGACGACCGATCATGATTCAAATACCTTCATACCCAGTTGCTTTGTTTCTTTCGAGTCATCACTAGCTTGTCATTCCTCACTCGTTCCATTTCTCCTTTGGGTTCTTGCATAGACCCTTTTCACAATATGTCGGGCCATGGGTGCAGCGGGTTGGGGAAGGCAAGGACTCGGCTTTGACGGAGGGCAAGGTAGCGATAGACCGGGGGAGGCCTCACCCGCCAGGCCACGCAACCAAGAAACGACAGCAACGGGCAATTGCTATGCGATATCCGGGTCCCAGCGGTAGCACACAGCACACAGCACACAGCGCGGGCGTCAAGTGTGCCCGGCGAAGCAGCAACCACTGCCACTGGCCATTGCCACTGTTGCGAGTCTGTTGTCACAACGTGTGGCACCGGTTTCCTTATTTCCTGCCGGTGGACAAGCAGTGCAGTGCTCAATGGACTTATGCAATACGAGCACGGCAAGACTAAAAAAGTTTGTACACAAGTATTATGAGAACAGAGCTCCAACCCCCAGATTCGTCACAATACGTGGAGTACCAAGCCTAGTAGGTGTCTATTGTAGTTTTCAATTCTGCCTTCCGATGTGGGCAGGACTTCTGCTTCGTAGATCTTAGTTGCTCTGAGCGTTCAAGATGCAATTCGTAGACACGGGCACGGCGACTGTTCCGCCGGGCCCCAAAGACCTCCGTCGAGCCTTTTCTGGATATGATTCTCACCCCTCGACCGAGCTGCAGCGACATGCCGTCGCATCTATCCTCGCCACACGCTTTTTGTACCACGACCGTTTCGAAGTGGCTCGCCGGGTTCTTCGCCCAAGTCCTTGGGTTTCCGTTGCAGCTCGGCCAGCCTTGGGCTTTGGGGTTGACGCGGTGTAACATTTGACGGACAAGTGGTCGAGTTTGTCTTTATATCCGCTTCCATCCATTTGGTTGGGATTCAAATATTTTGCCTCCTGATCAGTTGAGATCCAGCTTCCACAGCCCATCGCCAAGGTAATGTCCGGTGCCAATGGCGACGCCCTTTTTCTTCTCCTTCATCTCCTCGGTGCCGACCTCGAGCGGCCCAATCATGCAGATCTCCTCCTTTCCTTCCGCCTCTATGGCGACAATGTCGCCCGGCCTCGCCTCCTCTTCTTTGTCCGGCAACCGGCCGCCGGCGGAGGTGAGGCCGGGAACCATGAGCGCGGCGCCGGACAGGACGAAGCGTATGGCACCGCGGTCGATACGCAGCGTCTTGAAAGCATGAGGGTACTGGTGGACGATTTTTAGGTGAGGGATGATCGGGTCATCCATGTGTTGGTAGAATAAGGGTCGGTTATCGAGCACATAGAGCGAGACGCGGTCGGGGCTGGAGCGACACCAGGTTAATGTCTCGGATCTCGCAAGTGTAGTGATTGCCAACAGACGGGCAGGGATCTCGCTCAGGGTTCCCAGAGGAGTGGGAGTCGAACTCACAGTTTCACCAAGTCCATCTGGCTTTTCTTAGGTAGGATCTCGTCAATGTACGGCTCGAGGTTGGGATATGTCTCGAGGACTTTGGCCCTGATGCCCCGCTGCACCGAGGATTTGACCTTGGACTTTGCGCCCGCAGAGAGGCTGGAACAGATTGTGAGCTTCAGTGGGTGTGCCATGGGTCTGAGTATGGTACTTACTCCTTCTTGAACATGTCGGGCTTAAGTGTATCTGTACAATTTCTTGAGACCGAAGTTCAGCGAAAGTCCAACTTACGGTAGTACATAGCAGGCGATGCCGTCTGCCAAGAGGAGACTGCGGTGGCAGCACACAAAGCAGCGCCGTTGAGTCTACGCTTTGGGACCTAGCCTGACTCGACTACATATACGCTGTCGCTGTCGTTGCAGCTACACCAATACTCCGTACTTGATATTTGAGGGAGAGCTATACCTCAGGTACGGAGTACAGATAGAATACATGTACCTAGGTCGGTAGTCGGTACCGCGTACACACGTCTCGGCTGGTACCGCCCATCATTCTCGCTCAAGGGGCCATATAATGAGGGAACCCCCTGCGCTACTTTCGCAAGCTGCCATCCGATCCTCTGTGCCTTCGAACCCTGTCGCCCTCCCTCTCCTAGCTTTCGCACCGTTCGCTTGACTGCTCTACCCGCACATTTGGACATTAAGCTGCCCGAGATTTCAGAAAATCGATAATGACCGGGACATCTCCTATCAATGTTGGGCCTGTTGGAGTCCATCCCAACCGCTCTCTCGTCTTTGCGCTCGACGCTAGGTTGTCGGCCCTCAGAGGGAATTGAAGTCGGCCGAAATGGTCCTCTGCTTTCTCGGGCGGGAGGCTGACAACGGGGATATCCAGCTGCTTCCCAATCTCGATCGCGAGATCCTTCAGCGGTACACCCTCCTCGGCCACCGCATGGAAGACAGACCCGGGCCTAGCCTTCTCCACTGCCAACCGGTAAATCTTGGCCGCGTCGTCGCGATGACCTGCGGACCAGTGGTTCTGGCCGTCGCCGATGTACACAGAGACACCCTTCTGCTGCGCCATGGCAACCAACTGTCCCGCAAAGCCCGAAAGTCCAGGGCCGTGAGTGGACGGCGGTAGGCGTACAACGCTGGCGCGCACTCCCTGCTTAGCGAAGTCGAGGCACACCGTCTCTGAGGCGCCACGCGCTGCAGCCATGGGGTTGGTCGTATCGACTTTATCGTCCTCATCCCCAAGCTTTCCGGGGGCCAGCATCATGGTACCCGATGTAATTACCAGGGCGCGGCCGCCGCCCGCGGCAGCTAGGGCGGAGCCTAGAGCAGTAATAGCGGCCCTGTCTGTGGCGCATGAGCCGATGAAGTCGGCAAAGTTGTGGACAAAGGCTAGGTGGATAACGGCATCACATTCAGAGGCTCCCTTGTTGAGGATTTCCAAGTCTTCGATGGTGCCGTACAGGGCCTCGGCGCCTTGGCTCTTCAGCTGCTCAACTCCCTTGTCGCTACGACTTAGGCCGAGGACTTTGTGTCCTGCGGAGAGCAGCTCATTGACGACGGCCGTACCGACGAAGCCGGTCGCGCCCGTGACGAAAACGCGCATCGTGGAAGCTGAGATTGTCAAGGCACAGATAGGGAGAGGGAGATGAGGTTCCGTTTGGTATCTAGCATCCTTGTTTGAGTTTTGAAGACGGTCTGGTCTTGCTCCCTCAGCAGCAGGCCTCATAGCTATTTATACGTCCTATCGCTTGCACCCTGTCTACTGCAGTCACGGACTTTACGGCAAACATTGTACGGATTTTGGTACTCACCGAGACCATCATGTCTGCTCTGTGGTAGGAACTGCCATGGATGGAGGTCATATTGACCAATCATCGGCGCCTAATCCCGAGGTGAGGCTTAGCGTGCAGACACGGGCCCGCCGGTTGAATATGTCGACCACGAACGAACAGGATGATTCAAGATCTAGAAACCCCCCAAATTGCGCAGTCTGGCCGACCTCTTCATGGCACTGCTCACGTCGACACCGAATTCATCTCCGCCAGTCAAAAACATCACCTCGGCTAGACCTGTCAGTCCCTCCACCACCTACCACTCTCCATGCAAATCAGCCATGGACTCGGGTGCGCAAAAGAAGCGCGACAGTAGGCGCAATTCACGGTTTGGCTGTCGAAACTGCAAACTAAGAAAATTGAAGGTCAGTCCTTCAATGGCGATTCTTCCTCTGGCCCCCACAGGTGGCCGCCGGGCTAAACGAAGAAACGGTATGTGTTACAGTGTGACGAGGCGAGGCCACGTTGCCTGAGATGTCAGACTTACGGGGTCTTATGCAATTTCGGCTTTAATGTGCCCGATCTCGAGCCGCTCTTTGGGAGAGGCTCAAAGCAAAGGATTGTAAGACAATCGGGATTGTCAACGCCGCGGCCTATGCCCACCATCAGCAACGCCATATGGGCCGGGAATGGACCAACAGTTTGCATGCTAGATCCAGAAGACGGAGAGCTTTTCAACCGGTTCCGGTACCGAACCCTCTACGCTCTCGGAGGCTCTACAATGGTGGATATTTGGGGAAATCATATGTTGGACGCCTGTTTTACCGTGAGTCCAATCAAGCCCCTCCCACTTCCTGCTTAGAAATACTCTCAAGATCAACTTTTTGAGCTTTACTGAACACTTATTCGATAGTGTCCATTTTTGATACATGGTACATTGGCGGTGACAGCTGTCCATGACCGCTATCTTGGCCTGACGCCAACCCGTCGTCGTTCTTTGCGGGAAACATACCACTGGGCTCAATGCACCACACTGTTTAAGAAGTGGTTAAACCAACCTATCAAGGAAGAAGACAAGGATCCTCTCTGGGCTGCGGCTGGCACTCTTGGTGTTTTGGCCTTCTCATCCATCAATGCTGTTTCTCCAGAGGAAGCATGGCCACTTGGACCACCCGACCCCTCCGATCTCGAGTGGCTACGGCTAGGAGCAGGCAAGTTAGCCCTGCGGCATCTGGTGAATCCTTTGCGGCCAGAAAGTGTGTTCCGCGTTATGACTGAGAAATTCGCACATATGCATCGGCCCGTACCCGTGAAAGGCATCGATGGCATATCAGTCGAATTGGTGCAGCTGTGCCAGCTTGACGATTCATCGACGCGAGAGAACAATCCTTACTTCACAGTTGTACATGGTCTCTCGGGCCATTTTGATGTGCCAGAGGCCGAGGCATTCCTAGGCGGAGTCATGCATCACGAGTTTGGAACCCGCCTGGAGCAGAAAGATCCAGTAGCGCTTCTGTTACTATGCCTGTGGTATACCAGGGCGCGTAAAATCAAATGGTGGATTGACCTTCGCGCTAAATACGAACTTCCAGCGATTTGCACCTACTTGCGGCGACATTTCAAGGACAACAGCACAATCCAAGGACTTCTACCTGAGCACAAGTCATAGAAAACGACCAGAAAAAAGAAAGAATCAAAAGGTCAGAAACAGCGAGCCCGCATTAGGATTTTAATATGTATAAAAGAAACCAGCTCGCCTACCAACGCGGCCTCCTAGTTATATATGTGTGTAAAAGCGGCGTGAATCTGGTGTCTGTTGAGGTGCCGCTGCATGCCGGTTTAGTATCAGTACTAGGTACTGGGTGCTAGTATTACTAGTATCCATAAGCTTGATCTAGTTGCCAAGACACTAACCTGTGTGGTACACTTATATCAGATACTATCTATTTGCACTATTACTCTAACTGTACTCCGTACCAAGTGGTACTTCTACTTCTTGACCACTGCATCATTTCAACTCATCAGCTCTGGTGGCTGTGTCTTGTACAGGCGTCACGGCTAGCTTGTGAAAGACCAGTTACCGATGGGCTGAGGGTTGGATGTCCACGGCACAACCTCTCTGGTCGTATCTCACCGTGATGCGGTCTCCAACTACCAGGCAACCTGAACGCGGTCCAGCATCCACCATCTGACGCGGTAAACACGTCGCGGTGCTGTGAATCATTACCTGCTCTACCACGTTCGAGACACGACACGTTATGCTCTGCCTCTTTCGTACAGCTTACCACTCCAGTGTTTGAGGAGAGCTCGCCGTTCTTGAGCGTCCTTCCAACGGAAGAGACTCAGTCGTCCCGTCAATGGTGTCACAAAGCGCGGCCGCCTCTTCATCTATGTCGGCCGAGCTCGTCACTCGGATCGCGGGTTGCAACTTTCTCATGGCCAACCTCTCGTTTCGCTGATGTTGAGCCAGAATGGCGAACAAGTCAATGGTGCGCCCTACAATTGTCCTTGTCAGCCATGTGTTTGACGGACATAAGATCTAACACCTGCCTCCACATTGGTAAGAGAATAACGTCCTTGTTGACTTGTTGGAGACATCGGACCTCGAAAAACTCAGCAGTTCCTTCTCCAACACCCATTTTTGCCGGTCAACGACCCCTGCTGGAATTTGGTGGCCTTCTTTGGCGTATATGTCGCATCTGATGACCACTGCCGTGGGTGACCGCGGCAGGAGAGTGATTGTGCACCACAGATCTTCACTGAGCTGTTTCATCATGCTCAACGGGCCAAGTAATGTCGCCGTCTTCTGTTTCCGCAACCAGGAGAGCCATCGAAAAGGGCTCTGTGGCCATTGACACTGGCTCGAAAACCCATTTGCTGACACAACACTCTTAGAAACACAGCTTACTGCCGGTCAGGGCCGAACTCACCTATCTCTTTCCAATTTGTAGCGCAAGGCACGTCCATACCACCCACCCAGGAGCAGCTCTCAAGATCGACGTGAGACTTGACATTGTTGAAGGGCAGGTTCATCGTGCTAGCGTCGAAATTGACAAACACCAAGCCCTCCCTTGTGGTAATCAATTTCACCTCGAACAGACCATTATCCTCCGGTACAAATCCAGGAGACTCGTCGAATTTGGGCGCCTTGACGAGCCGGCCTTCATCGTCATATTGCCAACCATGGTACTTGCAGGAGAAACGGGTCGAAGTGCCACATGGCTTCCGAACGACGGTGTAGGCTCGGTGGCGACAGACGTTATGGAAAGCCCGGACCTTCGAGTCCCTGCCTAAGACAACGAAGAAGGAAATTCCGGCAACGTCAAAGGCATGATAATCTCCGAGTTTATCAAACCTGCTACGGTGGCATACGAATAACCACGTCTGGTAATGTTAGCGAGGGCAGCTCATAACGATGCCTGCTCAACGGGAGCCAACCTTGCTGAAGAAAGCTCGCTTTTCCAATTGAAATATGTCTTCCTCCAACGTCCCATCCTCCTTCTTCAGCCTTCCTTTTTCAGCTTGGTCGAGACCTGAGGCTCGATGAGAAGCTTTCTGGTCGTCGGCCTGTAACAATCCATGGACAACCTTCACTAGAGGGCGGCCCAAAAGATAAGCCAAACAGGACAGTACAACAGCATACGCTAGAAAGGCAAAATCTGGCCGGGCCAGGTGGCTCAAAGAAAGGCTCGTCACCATGGCTTGAACCGATCTGTTCACAAAATGGTCATAATGTGAAGAGAGAGTGGGAGTACGCAACATGCAGCCTTCGTTCTATATGGTTCCGGAAGACTGAGATTGTGGGGCTTAGGAGGCTTATCTATCAACATCATACTCGCCGTTTGTGGCAGGAGTTTCGCGACACGAATGCCCAATCTTTTGGGCCTCAATACGCGGTTCTGCAAAGCCAATAGGAATCCGGCATCCGGACGCATTTCGAATATAAACATCGGATCCGAAATGCCAGCGTGATGAGACAATATAATTGCAGATTATCCACCATGGTTTCAAGGCTGACACACTGACAGTCAATCGTTTGCTCGAGATAGACTTGCACCTGTCCCAATCAGGAAATGCGATCCCGCTGGAAACGCGAGTCGACAACCGATCATCCCGTCCCTCCGGGCGGAAGTACTCCGACAAGTCTATTGGGACCAATGTCCAACTAATGACTGCGCTCAGAATCACGGCCATTGTCGATTCTTAGCTTATGGAAATTCCAGGAAGATGGGATGCGGGCCTATCGTCACCATCCATGCCTATGGCTCGTTGGGCAATCCGCGCCGTCCATATAATGGCCCTGAGACCATTTGATATATATGCCGTCGGTATTTGGATGCCCGTTTTGGCATGAACTTGTGGAGATAGGCTGGCAACGTCCTTCCACTATATCTAACCCTTTGGAAACTCTAGACCATTGACCGACCATTATTTGGACCTTGTCTTCGCAATTATCTGACATCCTAACATAGCAGGAGGCAGGCATCGACTTCAAGGCCTGCTCCAACTAGCATCAAGTGACCTGTGGCGTGGAAAGTGTGACCATATTGTGTTGTCAGTGCGTGTCACCGAACCAGCTCTTCTCAATTGCTATGGATGCCACTCCTACCAAAACCCTCCCTGCGTCGTGGTACTGCTCGCAGAATCTCTATCATCTTGAACAACGAGCCGTGTTCTACAAGGCATGGTACCTTGTCGGTGCAGTACCGAGGTTTGCTGTGGACAAGGAGGTCGAGTATGAATTTGCCGGTGTGGCTGTCGTTGTGCGGCAAGAGGGTGATGAAAAGTTCACCGTGACGAGGAAGACTGATGTACGTGAAACTCCTGTTATATGGACTTCTCCCTCCATGCATTTCGTCTTTCTCTGTGATTTTTCGAGTCTGCATCGCTTGTTTTCACCTTATCACCGATGCCTCTGCTATTTGCATTCACATTCATACCACGTTCATACCACGCCCATACCACGCCCATACCAACGTACCTACGTACCTACGTACCCAAGCTGACATGCTCTCTTCTCCGCGAATCTAGGGCCAATCCCTCTCTTCCTACCTGACGCCAACCGGCCTACTCTTCACGACCATCGACCACTCGGCACCCTCTTTCGACGAATGGTTCCCCCCGTCTCTTTTGGAGCTGCTCTCAAAGTACGATTTCCGCCGGCTCCCGCACCGGCGCTCCATCAAATACCCCGGCCGGTTCAACTGGAAGACCATGGTCGACGGGTACCAAGAATGCCTGCACTGCCAGTACACGCACCGGAGCTTCAGCGTGAAATACCCACCGACCTTCTACGAAGTGCACAACCACCACACGTACAGTCGGCACGTGGCCGACCCGACCAAGCCGGACGACGGGCTTTTTCTTTATTTCTTCCCCGTCTGTACCATCAACCTGTACGGCGGCGGGATGAGCAGTTTCCGCGTGTGTCCGGGTGAGAAGGTGGGCGAGACACGCATGGAGTTTGACTATTATTTCGACGATGGCAACGGTGGGGTCGAAGGGTTTGACGACTATTTCAAGTTTGTGAGGAAGGTCGCCCTGGAGGATTTCGAGCTGTGTGAGGTCGCCCAGTCGAACTTGGAGAGGGGAGTGTATTCGCAGGGCGTGTTGAATCAGAAGAAGGAGAGCGGCGTTTTACGTGAGTTGCATTCCTATCCTAGATGTCCCGCTACGAGGCTTGATCTGTCGTACTCCTTTGGAGTGTGGAGAAGGCTGTCTGTACTCTCCTTTGGAGTGTGGACAAGGCTGTCTGATATGTGCCTGTTACTTGGACATGCATCCAATCCATCAACATGGCAATCATGTCTGCCTTACGAATCCCCCTTGAACTTTTGTGCTGTGGCTGACCTATTTCATCTGGGACAGACTACCAGCAACTCACTAGACAGATGGTGGTGGACAAGTTCAAGGAAGAAGAGACCGAAAAGAATGCCTTGTCAGCAGTGTCGAGCAGGGCCAGCGTCGGGAGTGTTGCACGCAGCATTGGCGGCCAGAGCGAGAGGACCGCGTCTGTGTCCGTCTCGGCGTGAGGTGGTATGACTCGACTCGGGTGTCTTGTATAGGTTCTGTGAAGAAAGAGGGATTCGAGTTTTGTTGTCTTACTCGGATAGGTTCTGTGAACAGTGAAGCGATGGAGATTTCGGTTCTGTGAAGAGAAGCGATTCGAGATTCAATATTTCAGACCCCTCTCGTCTGGTGATGCCTGGAATGCCAAACGGCACGGCACGGCACGGTGATCGATAATTCAGGTCTGGACATGGCTCCAATGACTCACTCCTATTTCCTGCGCATGCTGGCAACAGCTTCTTCTCTCGAGATCGATATCGATATCGATCTGCCTGAGGGGGCGGTGGGGAGGGGGTGGAGGTATGACTATGAGTCCTCTCCTACTCCTGCTTATGGTTCGTGCTGGCATGATGAATGGGTTTGGCTCCCATATTGTAATGAGGTGATTCCACCCTCATCCTCCTATACTGAAATGTGGTGATTTCTCTCGACTGGCCTCCTATACTGTATTGCAATGTGGCGATTTCTCCGACTGGCTTCCTATACTGCAATGAGGTGATTCCTCTCGACTGCAATGAGGTGATTCGTCGACTGGCTTCCTATACTGCAATGCTGCAATGGGGTGATTTCTCTCGACCGGAGCTATAAGTCATTCATCCGTCTCCATCCTGTTGACCGTCCTGTTGAGCCTCGACGACTTGGAGGACGTGTTCCATATTGCCATTGCCATTGTTTCCCGTCACTGCTGCGTCTTGCTGCCGCGTACTCTCCTCGCTGTGCGCCATGTCGTCTGTTTCATCGGCCTGTTGATGTTGTTCTTCAGTCCCATGGGCTATTGGAATTGGAATTGGAAATGGATCGGCAGCCTCGTTCTCAGCTGGCGAACTCGTCCCCTCATCATCCTGGGCTGTCTGATCGGCTGGGATAAGCCCTTGGCCTGCTTGTCGACTGTCGACTTTGCCACCGTCCGTGTTCGTGTTCGTGTTCGTGTACGTGTCAGTGCCTGTCGTTAATGTGGTGGTTCGCAACTTCACTCTCTCCCTCTCCTTCTCCTCTTGATCCGCCTTGTCCAGCTGCTTCAAGATGAACGCTAGTGTGGCATCACGCGCCTTGTCCAGTTGCCGAAGTCTCTGGAGCGGCATTTCTGTATAGTCGATCACCTTCTTCGCCGGGCTCGACGCCGTTTCTGTCTTCTGTGATTGACTCTGATCAAGAGGGAGAGGGGCGTCTTGTTTTGATGTCGAGGCCGAGGCCGCCGCAGTCTTCTCGGCAAGCAGCCCGCGCAGGACGACGATGCTGTTGTCCCGGTCGAGCAGCTGCTTTGCGAGTCGTAAGCGCTCCGCCTCATTTTGCTGTTGCTGTTGCACAATCCCTGTTCCTTCGGCACCAGCCGCCTTCTGGCGCTTGTCCGCCCGGTCGTTGTGCGAGATACTCAAGGCAGTACTAGTGGTACCAGTAGTGCCCCACGGTGCTTGGGCTTGGGTTTGGGATTTCCACTTGGCAATGGCTTCTTTGGCCACGTTCTCCATGTGCGTGAACCGCACCGGGCCCAGCATGATGCCACCGTACCAGCGCGCCACGACCAGCGCGCCTTGGACATTGAGGTCGTCGAGAACCCGCTCGAGGCGTTTGCCGGCGTATTTCTCGCCGTCGTCATCCGATCCCGTCGTGTAGATGACTCGGTTGGAGTTGGTGGTGGTTGTCGTCGCCGTTCCGAGCACGAGCGTGCGCTGTCCAGACGGCCGGCGCCACGCCGCCATGCGATGGTCCGCGGTCGCAAAGGCCGGGTGTGCTTGGAGAGATTTGATCATCGATGTCAGCGACGTCGACGAGGTGGTGGCACCGGCAGCCCTCGATGAAGTGAATATGTGTGGATGGAAATGCGCGACGAAGGTTGACGACCGGTCCACCACTGGGGCGGAGGTGAATAAAGCCTCGTCGTCCTCCTCCTCCTCTAATGTGCGCTTAGGCGCTCTTGGAGCAGCCATGCGAAGAGCACTGTTGGAATCTGGACTTGCTAGAATCTGGACTTGGCTAGAACTAGAACAGACAATAGCAGAGCAATACCCAGAAAGCTGCGTTGGGCTGGGGGTCCAGCAGACCGACTAGACGAGGCGAGTCGTAAAGGCGCAGTGGGCGCAGGCCTCGACTCCGAGTCAGAGTCAGAGTCAGACTCGATCAAATATCAATATTAATCGTTCCTCTCACGCTTCGCTTCGACAGCCGAGATGCCATGACCGGTCGAGGTCGAGGTTGTGGTTGTGGTGGTTGTGGTTGCTGCTTGACTGCCTGCGCCGCGCTGTGCTGATGGTGCCGATGTGATGTATGTATGTGGTGGAGTTGAGCAGTAATAAAAAGTACGTTATTTAAATGCAGCATAGGCCTAACATGCTGTACTGTACAGTACTCCGTATGCTGTTGCTAAGGATCACCTCTGTTAAGCTTATTATTAGGCACTAAGGCACTAATTTAGGCATTCCCAGCCTTGTTCTTTAACCACAAGGCCTAAGGCTGGTACATATAGGCACACCTACAAATATAGTCTGGGCTCTCCCTATACGTCTTTGATACATATTGTAGCCGAAAAGGAACCTTTCATCCTTTGACAACCTCACTGGCAAAAATTCGACAGGGTGCAACACCCCGTCTCTTTGAATGCACCACCACCACTATAGTGTCGTTCTTTTGCTGGTCACTATCCATGTTTGTATTTCCACTCGCCGATTTAGGTCAAGGATAAGGGACAACTCAGAGACAAAGACTCATAGAGAGGCCGTGCATAGACGACAGGTATTTAGTAGCTACATAATAGCTAGCTATCTCACTGTCCGCCCCATGGCGATGCATGGGCTAAGGCCCGTTGCTGCTGTACTATTGTCCATTTGCTCAACGTCCAGCCTCAACGAGCTAAGCGCCTGTTCACTGTTCACTGTTCACTGTGCACTGGCACTGGCACTGGCACTGCTCTCTTGCTCCCGAAGAAAATTGATTCATTACTGCTGTCCATGCAGCTCTGGGTGTGCAGAGCTTCTCGCCGCATCCCCATCCCCTGGCGGAAAGGCCCTGGCGCATCAATTCGGTGGGAGAAAACGCTCCCGTGGCCTCTCCGAGCAGTTCGAGCTATCCAACGAAGCAATGTTCATGACGGACTGTTCTTTGTCCTCCATTGCCTTCAGCGGATGACTTCTCCGTCACCACTTGTTGATGAAGATGTGCAAATAGTCGCCCGAAAGAGAAAAACGTCTGATTAAGGTCGTGTGTAATTAAGCTCAGTGTCTGTCATGTTGTTTGTCGTAAGAAGAAAAAGCATTGATGCTATCTTTGGCATTTGCACAGTCAAGCAGTGCCGCAACTATAGTGAAATGCCGTCGATCTCATCTCATCCGAAAAGGTTCGTTGTCGTTAGCAGTGATCGTCATTTCTTCATGGTCTCATCACCATTCATCTGCGCCACTGGCGATGGAGATCCAGAAGGCGGTATTCTGCAAACGGTGCGAGATCTTTCTCTCTTGCCCCGCAACGGGAGCTCTTTCGTCTCGCTCGTATCCCCGGCAAACAGGGTGTCATCTGATGTGTCTGATTGTTGCAGCAACACACCATACTCAGCCACCTGGGTCGGAGATGGAGTGACGCTGATGTGGTGATCGTGCTTGATTTCTTCCATTGTCTGCTGTGGTACAGCCGAATCGGTCTTTTCTTCTGACCATTGTTTTCCATCTGGCAGCCCTCCCTGATCGCCTCGCGGCCTCAAAATGCTGGACCCTTTGGCCTTTGCTAGCTGCCGTTTGGTCTCCCTTTCAGTCTGCAGGGCGACCACGGTGTGTACAGCTTCTCCGGTAGCTGACTGTTTTCTTTGCAGCTGGACACGACGTTGAGTAGGACGAGTCACAGCCTTGATTGTTTTGGATCGCTCAGGTCCTGCTCTTTTGGGAGCATGAGATTTTAGTCTTTCTTGAGAGTTGGTACGCTGCCTTGTCAGAGTCAATTTTGCACTGGGTACAGCTTTTGAGGACGAATTCCGCTCCAATCTTTTAGTAAGATTACTGACATTGCCGGCACCACCAACCACCAGCATGTCAGACCAGTCCAGCTCGTCATCTTCATCAGAAGCGACGGCATTTTCAGGAATTTCACCATCTTGGAATTCACACGCCTTTTCAATCTTGCGGGAAGCATTGTTGCATGCCTCTTGCGTTTCGCTGATAGCTGTCAAAGGACTCATTGAAGTCATGCTGGTGTGTTGATATGGTGATACGCGGCTCGGGCGACGGTTGTGCTTAGCATCTGCGTCGTTCCCAGGACTTGCCATGCTGGCTTTGGACATGGCCGAGTCTCGTCGATAATGACCCGAACCCTCCCTGAGGGAGCTTGCGGCGCTGGAGGCGTTGGATGGACAGAAACCCCGGCTGACACGGGTACCAGTAACGGTATCAAAATATTCCATCGCAGCCACCTGTCCAGGGCCGGAACTGGAGCTGTGAGAGCTTCCAATACTGCTTGTGCGTGAATGATGAGCTCGGTATTCCCGCCACATTTCAGGGTCCAATCCAGCCGGAGGACAATCTCCAAGGTGGTTGACGATCACCGCGCCCACATCATGCATGTTGTGGTGAAGTTGGTCTAGTTGCCATTGCGCGGGCGCATTTACCGCTCTTCGATACCTTCCAAACCCCGTCATTTGCGGCATGGGAGGAAGGGGCTGGTCCTTGAAGTGCCAGACATTGTCGCAGCTGTAATTTCTCTTCAACTCTTCCGTGCTGAGCTCACGGGCCGTGATGTCAGGTGGACCAGCCGGAGTCTTGCAAGTGGCAATCATCGGAACAATGGGGCTGGAGGTGCATCGTTCATAAATAGGTCTTTGTGGAGGACGCAAAGTCCCCAGGATGGGGTTGCGACGTTCTGGGATGGCGGTGCTGGAGATCGATGGCGGACCTAGGACGACATTTCAGGTCTTTGGTTCATCAGAGGAGGCGATCATGGTCATCTTACGGCTAGGATGTTCGATGCGTGGTTCGTTTGCAACCTCAGTGATGAGTTTGAGCGCTGCTTCGGCATCTTTGTATTCCCGCTCCATTCTCTTTTGTTCGCTTTTCTCGGCCAGTGCTGCTCGGCCACAAGGTCAGCTGAGATTGCCCTGTCTGTCGCAGCAGAAGTATCATGCTTACCCCGACCGCCGACCAGTTTCAGGAACGTCGCCCAGGCCATCATGATTGATGTTGGAGAGCGGCGCAAGGTTTAGGTGCGGACCCAAAGTTGAGCGCAAAGTCAAGGTTGAGGTGAGAGAGGCGGCGTTTGCAGGACAACGACCAGACGGTATGTTCGTGCGAATCGGATGCGTCCAGATAGCAGACCTGGTTGTCGTCGACAGCTCTGATTGCAGTGTCGGTGGTGATGTGAAGGGACATTACACGGTAAGGAAATTCCCAACTGATGCAAACGGTAAATTTGACTCTTCTATTCATGCCAAACCTACAACCAACAGGCGGTGAAACGAGTGTGAATGCGAAAATGAGGGTGAAGTAGAATCTGGGAGTCTTCCCGTCCCCCTCACCCATTGATCGATGATGCTGTTGCTGTTGCTGATGCTGATGCAGTCGCAGTCGCCCTCGCCCTCGCAGGTCGAAGTCAAATCGTGCTGTCCCTGCTGCTGCTCTGTCCGGCCCGTCGTCCTCCACCTGCGTTCTCTTCTCTTGCACTGCCTCGACGCCAACGAGGGATTCTAGACCGCTTTGGCCTCCCCTCAGACTTAGACAGGTCTCGCCTATCCAGAGGCGACAACCATCATCATCACACTGCTGAAGGGTACCACAATGTTCAGAGGTTGTCAGTTGGGCCCCTATCGTCCCAAGCATCGATCAAAGTCCTCGAGCCAGAAAGACAGCAGACACACACACCGCCAGCCTGAGAGAGAGTCCGACTGTAAGGCGCGATAGAGGGAAAGTAACAGAACAAAGAAATCATAGGGAGGGTACTTATCCTCTGGATTCTAGAGCACACATCCCCAGTCCAGTCAGGGCAAGGCAAGCCTTCATTAGCTGTGGAACATGTCGCACAGGTCCCATGGGGGACGATCTTCGGTTGTCATCTTCTTTGTCTGAAAAACACCCTGACAACCCTGCTGCTGCAGGCTGAATGCGAATCATACTGTCGACTTCTTATGTCTCTGCAATGGGATTGGGGCTGGCTTCAGTCAATACCCTAGGAGGCACACCGACTTCTCCAATCACACGTACCAGACATTTGCGAAGCATCACCTGGTCGAATTGTGTGCGATAGAGGCCTTCTGTTTTGGATGCGAAACTCGAACGATCAAACAGACAAAAAGGTCGACTCCTTCGCTGATCACTTTTGTACCGGTTGTGGAACAAGGCAGCATCCAAGAGAAGGAACATCACCTCGCATGGTACATGTTTCTTCACATCACAATCGCAAGATGCACGTCTCCGAGATCACAGCCATCTAAGGCCTAGCATCAGATCTCTAGCAATCTGGACCAACTCCGAACTTCAAAGCCAACCAGAGCTGAATCCTCCCCGGCTGTCGACAACCGGGAAGCCACTCTGTTTGCTTGAAAGAGGGGAAGCAAGGGTTGCGCGTACTGGTCGTCTTGCCAGAAGCCATTGGCAAACAAGAGACCAAATGATACATCACAACGCTGGCAATAACGTGAGATACGATGAATCTCGGATCATGAGCGAACATCTAGATTCGGACTTGGGTTGTGCGATGATAAGCCAGACATGGTTAAACCCAGTGCAGGTTGCCGTCGGGCCTCCACTCCGTTAGCAACTGGACGTCCTTTGAGGTCTGGAGGGGATCTTTGACCAGCCCAGAGCATGCAATCGCGGGTACAGTATGACACGTGTCGAAAGAACGCCATCCAGAGCTGCAAACCGGAGACCCCAAGCCCTCGCCGGTGGGAGAGCAGACTTACAACCTCTGTTACGACGACCACACTTGGTCACGCTTGAGCAACAAAGTCTGCCATCCTTGCTGCCAGCCTATGGCTCCTCCACCACTACTGTACGGCTGATACTGTACGGCTGAGGATGGCTGTTTCTCTTGTTCTCCGAGAGCTGCTCGCGTGAAGGAGCCATGGCTAACAAGGTCCGACGTGGCCCTAAGGCCCATTCCCATTCCCGCCCCATTTGTCCGGTTCCCTTTTTTAGCCCGCCAAAAAGCACAGACCAACAGACTTGGCGCAGGGCAAAATTGATGGCAAACAAAGGTCAAGCTGACGTGCTGACGATGACGGTGGGATGAAGATTTATTTGTCGTGGAACAACTAAAATACTCGAGACACAGAACTGTACCCCGATCCAACAGAGCCCCAGTAGCAGACAGACTCGGTGCTGCGTCGAGGATCCGGAGGTGTTTGTTGTCATTTGGCCAGGCACGCCTTCACCTTCAACGTTACAAACCATGGCAACGTACGTTACGTCCCTCTGCCTTGGGTTTTAGCCCGCATAGCACAGCAGCATCACACAACGTCCTTCCCTGCCTAAAGGTCCTTGGGATCACTTTGCTCGAATTGTCGATTATTCTCATAAGGACCACCTCGCCCCCAGCCCCTTTGTGACTTGTCTCTCCACCATTTCCATTCTTCTTTCTTCCTCTGTTGATTTTGATTGCCGTCTCTGCATGACAATTGGGAAAATATGGGGTTCACTCTACTTACGCCTTTTCATAGCAACATCCACTACCACCCCACTCCACTGACACCCAGCATCCGGGCAGGGCTTCGCAAACAGACCGGATTGACCATCTGGCTGACGGGTCTCTCCGCCAGCGGCAAGTCTACCATTGCGGTTGCTTTGGAACAAGCCCTTCTACGCAAACCATACAACAAAGCGGCCTACCGACTAGATGGAGACAACATCCGCTTCGGTCTGAATAAAGACCTCGGGTTCTCTCCCAAGGATCGCGAAGAGAACATCCGTCGCATCGCCGAGGTGGCCAAGTTATTTGCCGATTCATGTACCATCTCCATCACCAGTTTCATCAGCCCGTACCGAGCCGATCGCGATCTCGCGCGTAAGCTTCACGAGACGGAGCGACCCAATGGCGAGCCGGGCGTGCCGTTTGTCGAAGTCTGGATTGATGTGCCGGTGGAAGTTGCCGAACAGAGAGATCCCAAGGGCTTGTACAAGAAGGCACGCGAAGGCAAGATTCCCGAGTTCACTGGCATCAGTGCACCATACGAGGAGCCGCTGAAGCCGGAAATTCACATCCGATCCGACAAGACGAGTGTTGAGGATGCAGTCAAGCTCATCATTCAATATCTGGAAGAAAAGGGGTATTTGGCTGAGCCGGCTGCAGTTGCAGATGACGAATAGAGCCCGACCGCGGTAGACATGATGAGCATTTGACGCCATTAAATGGTGCGGTCTAGGTTTCAAATAGGTAGATATGAAAGCAATGTTCTGGGTTACAATGGGAAAGCTGTGATTGAGACGACAGTAGTGCTGACATGCACCCATGTATGAAACCGGGCACCTATGTATGGAATGGTGGTCTCTCAGAGGGACATTTTGCGCCGCGATGCAAATGCAAATGCAAATGCGCAGAACAGACTGTCAGGGTCTATAGAATTCACTTTTCATGTTTCATTTTTCACCTTTCACTTTTTCCCGGCCTCGTCGTCATCATGATCACGACCGTTCTCATGAGTCTCCAGCTAGCTGCGTTGCCGGCAACGTCTCTCTTTGACCGCGTCAACACCCAACACCCATCCCCCATGGCAGGCATGGTACTATTCGAACCTAGGCGGTGCCGACCTTCTTGCCCCCCAGGACATCATCCCTCATAGTAGGTATAGTACTATTCGAACCCAAGCGGTAACGGCTTCTTGTCCCAGAACATCGTCCCCCCGGCAGGCATAGTACTATTCGAACCTAGGCGGTGATGGCTTCTTACCCTAGAATATTATCTTCTATGGTAGGTATAGTACTATTCAAACCTAGGCGGTGACGGCTTCTTGCCTCAGGACATCATCCCCCACGCCCATGATGATACTATTCGAATCTAGGCGGTGGGTGTGGGTCTGACGAATTGCGAGTAGGATAAGGATAAGGATAAGCATAGGGATAAGGCTGAGGCGAGACGTCGTTTCGGGAGAGAAGGTTTGGGTCTGTGTTTGGGTTTGGCTCTGTTGTGCTGGCAGTGTCGGTGCCGGCAGTGTCAGTGTCGGCGCCTGTGGAACCTCGGTCAAGGATACTTTGGGTCGGTGTGGGAATCGGTGTGGGAGCTGGTCGATGGAGATGGAGATGTGGATGTGGTATTATGGTCTTGCGTGGCATCACGGTCTTGCGTGGCATTATGGTCTTGCTTGGTTGTGGTGGTGGCCGAACAGTTGGGTTTCTCAGCAGCCTTGTCCTCGGCCTCAGCTTCGGCCTTGGCCTCATCGACGACCTGATGACGGTCTTGCGTGGTTGTGGTGGTGGTGGTGGTTGTGGTGGCCGAACAGTTTGAATTTCTCAGCAGCCTTGTCCTTGGCTTCCCGAACAGTTGTGTTTCTCAGCAGCCTCGTCCTTGGCCTCCCGAACAGTTGTGTTTCTCAGTCGCCTCGTCCTCAGCCTCCCGAACAATTGGATTTCTTAGCGACCTCGTTCTCAGCCTCAGCCTCCGCCTCGTCGACAACCTGTTCCCAGAAGCGGCCGTCGCGAGTCACAGGACGCCACCACGCCCGGACGCCATCTCTGTCTTCAGATCCATGACCAGCGGTAGTGGTAGTGGTAGTGGGATTCGCGTCGATATCGATATCGGCATTTCCTGTCCCCATTGCATTATGGAATCCCTGCTGCAGCGCATCGTCGGACCCCTCGACACCGTCGTAGCTAGTCCTAGTCCCAGTCCCAGTCCCAGCCCCAGCCCCAGTCCCCGCGCGCCGTGGCAGCCGCTCGTCCCACCAGCGCCGACCACACATCTCCCACAACCGACTTCTTGCGCGCTTATACGCGAACCGTTCGTCCTCGCCCGTCAAGGCGGCCGTCGACGTGAAGTCGGGCGCTGGATACATCTCCCCGCCGAAGCGGAAGCGGGCCTCGGCGAATGCTGTCGACGAGTTCGAGACGCCGTGGCCTCGTCCGTTGCCGTACGTGGGGCCAAAGTCGGCGTCTTCGTCTGCCAGCACGGAGCGGAGGCTAGGAGTGCTCAGTGACGCAGTGAAGGCTAGGGATGGCGGAGTCGTCGAGTCCGAGCCCGAGTACGACGACACGTTGGGCCGGAATGGCGCCGTTGAGTCCTGGTACATCTCGGAGAAGGATTCGGATGTGATTGAGTCAGAATCAAAATGGTCAGCGTCGAAGAGTGTTTCTGTTTCTGTTTCGTCTTGATGAGAAACGTCACCACCATCATGACCACCATAATCACCATCTCCACCACCACCACCGCCTCCACCTCCACTCCTAGTGCCGGTGATACGGGTGGCTCCAGATCCCAGCACACCAGTGGCACCGGGAGATCTCGTTCGAACGCTCCTCGGCGCTTCTGGAAAGAACAGCTTGTCGGGCGGGGCGGCCGCCTCAATCACTAAGCGACATCGCGCCTCATAAAGGGCGTCTAGCAGCGTGATGAAACGTCGCGCCTCGTTCTTCAGGGCCAACGTCAGCACAGGCACGTCGGTGAGGATCAGGGTGTGGAACGTCGAGCATAGAGATACGTAGTCGGCCGGGCCCAGGTAGCTGGCGCAGAGGGCGTCGAAAGACGACTTGAGGATTCCGTCGTGCGTCGTTTCCAGACGCAGCGGCCGAGCGTAGACCGTGAGCGTGGTCGGAGTCCATGTTGCTGAGGGGTTGAGCAGGCGTACATCCGAGTCAAGTGCCGAAGACGAACACACGGGCTTTGGTTCGTCTAATGAGGGGAGCTTGATATGGTGATGTGGCGGCGAGTCTGAAGATAGTCTTGCGTCTGCAGCCACGGCGGTCGCGGTTGAGATAGGCTTCTTCTCCGTGTCCGTCACCGTGGGATCACTCTCATTCTGATTCTCGTTCTCGTTCTCGCTGTCGCTGGCGTCGTCATCCCCCACCAGCTCGGCAGCGTAGTCTTCTCGTCTCCAGTCCCTGTTGCCCTCCATTTCCCACACCTCACATCTCGCCCTCAGAATGTCGAGGAACAGGCCGAAGTCCGTCTTCGCCGCCCTCTCACCCTCGCTGGCGCGGCGCAGACCCCAACCGAGACCGAAAAAGCCGCCCATGCCATGTCGACGACCTGGCCCGTGACCGTGACCGTGACCGTAGCCGTAGCCACCGAACTCGACGCCCGCTGCCTTACTCAGCTCCTCGGGCATGCGGTTCGAGCTGGCCACCAGGACGCCGCCGAGGTGGAAAAACGCGGTGAAGAAGCTATTGATCAGCTTCGACGCCGTCCGGTCCGGCATCTGGAACTCGTCGAGAAAGAGGATCGGGCTTTCGCTGATAGTGTCCTTGGCCAGAGCGAGCACGACGTGCTCGTGGTCTGAAAGACCGACACCGGGGCGTGGGCCGAACAGACTCGGTCTGGGACGCTGAGAGTCCTCGAGCCTCTCGAGTCTCGCGGCTTCGATGCGTCGAAAGATATCCAGCATGAAGGTGTTGAAGTGCCAGCGGCGCTTCTTCCTCGACGGCAGCGACGTGTACAGCAGGTCCAGAAGCATGGATTTGCCCCGTCCCACCTCGCCGTAGAGCAGCATCCCCTGCGGCGAGTCGATCTGGACGGCCGAGTGGTGCAGTGGTGTCGTCGTGACCAAGGCTAAGGCCGAGGCCGAGGCTGCAGAGAGCCTGCCGGTGGATGAGAGCAGAGAAGTCAGCATGCCCCGAGAAGTAGAGGGCCGGTCGGCCTGTGTGCTTTGGCTGGCGGTCTGACGACGGGCCTCAGGCCTCTGCTTGGTGCCATCTTCCTTGGGATGCCTGTTGCTGTTGACACGGCGTCCGATCCGCTCCAGCCGATACCGGTACTCGACTTCGGGTGCGTAGTCTTTCAGCCGGAAGTAGAGCTTCTGCAGTTGCAGCGCTAGGCGGTGCTGGGCTGGATCTGGCCGGATCTTTTTGGTCGCCACGAGCGTCCGGTAGAGGACCAATGGGTTGGTGATGCTGAGACTGAGATTCTGAGCCGGCGGCGGAGGAGGCATGGGAGGGCTTAGGGGCTCTCGGCTGGGGTGAAGAGGGAGAAGTGGTGGCTATGTCGATGTCGGTGTCGGTGTCGGTAGTGTGGGTGGCGGGCGTCATTGGAGGAAGGGAATTGATACTGCCACGCTCGCCAGCTTGGAAGAAAAGGACTCCGGGGCGCAAGGATAGGTAGACGGAGTACCTCCTATATCGATCTAGATGTATCTACTCCGTTCAGCACCGGCGTCTTCACAGTCGACGTCAATTGAATCGTATCTCAACACCAGCGTCAATGGTCATCTTGCTCCGCCGGACCTTAGATAACCGAACATCAATATCACAACGTACGGAAGATCGAGTACGGAGTACTGATACATATATCCACGAGCAGATGTACGGATACTGTACAAGCACCACTTTGTCTCATGCTCTGGATTGAGGTTTCTCTATCAGCTTTCAGCTGTACGAGGGTGGCACTAAAGCCCTAAGCCCGTCCTATGATGCCGCTCAACATCGATCTCTGACCTCTGCCCCGTCTTAATGAACGAGGTCGAGACTATCCACACTTTGCTCCAAGCCAGTCTCCCTCAAGCTCGAGGCTGCGCTCGCTGCCTTTCTCAACCTCGCCTTTACCCCGGATTTCCGCTTCGGTCGGCTGCCTCCGTCAATTGAGCTTGGTGGAGGCGCCTCCATGATCCACCGGGCAATGGCTTCTGCTCGTTCCGTCCTGATGGAAGATTTCTTTCCCTCCATCTGAGACCGTCGTGTTGACGAATGCGACCTGGTATCACTCCCGTTAACTGTCTCCTTGATGTCGTTATCGACGACTTTTGTTCGGTTCTCCTTCTCGCGGGCAGCTTCTTCCTCTTCTTGAGCAGCCTTCGGTTCCTGGGCTTGAACACTAACTCTGGACGTTTCTTGTGCCATCAGCCGCTCTTCTACCATTGCCTCCTTGATCTCACCCTGTTTGGTCCGTTTTAGACTCCCGTTTACATCTTCTTTCCGCTTGCTTGGCGGGGGCTTGTGGTCATGTTGCGAGAGTGGAACAGGGGAACATAAACGCTCCCAGCTGGCCTCCAGGCCCAGCCAATTTTTCGACCGACGGATGACTTCTATCCAGTCTGCCCGGGCAGGTGAGCGTGGTGCCAGGAAGATCGGGTATCCGTCGCAGATCCGGGCAATCCGCGCCGTCATATACGCGTGCCGCAGATGTTCTTTTGTTGATGTCTGAAGGAGGCAATGACAGAGCAGCAGGGAGTGCAAGACCTCTGTCAGCAGCGGATGATACGTGACCGCTTCGGAGAAGTCTGAGAGCGAGAAAATGGGAGGATCTTGGTGTTGAGCTGTATCCGCCTCGGGGGGGTAGGGGGGTATGTCATCAGGAGGCACGGCTGCAAACAGGGTGTTCAATCTGCGCACCGATGGAGGCGGAATGGGAGGTAGATTGTGGGCTTCCTGCCCACGCTTCTGGTTCTCATACTTGGTCAGAGCTTCTGTGAGCCCATTGCCCAAGGTGGTGGAGCTTAGCCTCTCCAGCAACGCTTCTGTATACTCCACCGGCAGCCCAGGAGTGTAGTCCAGGTGTGACAAAAAGGCCGTATAGTCTCGAAGAGCCCGTTTCGCATACGTTCGGACTAGTTTGCGTGCCTCTGCTCGAGTCTCTGCTTCTTCCCTCTCTGCATCTGTCACGGGATGACCTGCCGTCTCGTCGTTGTGCTGGAGGCCTTCCAAGACAGGGTCCCGTGGACGTGCACCTTGTAATGCTCGTCCGATGTTATCGCACGCCAGGGTCAGATATGCTCCACCACGGTGAAAGAGCAGTTGGGGCTCAAGGCTGCTGGGCTGGTCCTTCTCCTCAACGCGATGGTCTCGACCGGTCTTGGTAGCGTCATTCGCCAAAATCATATCCCAACCATCGGTCTGATGTTGTGGATGGTATAGCCGTTGCACAGCCAGTCCATCTGTACAATCTCGCGCGGCACCCTCAAAGTCGTCCTTGAAGATTCGTGCAACCGCTCTGGTTCGGTATGGAGATGGGTCGGTCGGCTTCTGGCGAATGACATCGTTCAGGGAATCCAGACTCGTATGCTGGGGCATACCCAAAGAGGGGACCTTTTCGTGGAAGAAGTGCACATATTGTGCGTCCGGATCTTCCACGTTGCGTTGTAGAACGTGTTTCGCGACATCGTCTATTGCCGACGCCGCCTGCATGGTGGCGACACTGGCCGCGATTTCGTCCAGCTGGTATGCATGGGACAGCTTTTGCGTAGCATGTTCTCTCATACGATATCTCCGTTCCCGACTCAGTTTGGCCCCGCCGCCACCTCTTGCAGAGCCTATGCCCAGTATTTCCGCATCCGCTCCGTTGAACACGCCGTTAGATGCATTCAAGGACGTGTGTAGAGAGGCGGCGGTGGTGCCGTTCGCGGCTCGGACGGCGAGACTAGTGGCATCTTCGATCAATCTTCTGATCTTGACGAGGTCGAAGAAGACGGCCGGGTCGATGGGCTTGGGGCGGGGAGAATAGAAGTTGTTGAAGGCCAAACTCTCGAGCACTTCGGGGGGAAGAGTCAACCATTGCCCGTGGTAGGAGGATATATGTCGCCAATGCCTGCGGAAACGGTTAGCTTTTCAAACACCCCCGGCCACGTCCAAGCGTGGGATAATGCCTCCAGATGGAACGAGAGACCAATTGCTCCGTACTTATTGCGGCATATCACCAAGGGAGAAGGCGCCGTCGACGCCTGCGCCGGCTTTCCTTTAGACGACAGCTGCCCCGGCGGCGGTGGTGTCGGGGTCGGGGTCGGGGTCGGAGCACTGGTCGCGTCGATGGAAGAGAGAGTCGTGTCAGGCTTAGGACTCTTCTCAGTCGACTGCGCAGGAGCTTTCGGCTTCTTCTTTGTCATGGTCCGCTTGCTGCCTACGCACTGCTGATTCCACCCGGGATCATAGGTCGTGTTGACAGAGAGTCTCGGAAAGCGGATGGGAGTGAATCGAGTCCGAGAAAGGGTGTGAGGCCGTCTCTCTCGGTCAACAAACCCCGATAAAAGATTAAATTTATTTTGAGCTCGCCAATCGGCCAGGCGTCGTCCCTCTACTACCTTCACTTGTGATCCCAGCGGCCAGCGACGCAAATGAACTGCGGTATCACGGCGAAACTGTGTCACCCGTTACAGCTCCTGACCCCAATATTACCTACCTACTGTCGTTGAATGTGAAGTTCGTCATCGAGGATGCCATCATCAAACCTCCACAGCGGCGTCCTCGTCCTTACCAGGAGGTTTGGTTGACATTCCAGCTCCAGCTTGCAACATTTTTTCTAGTCTATGGGAGGTTTCCTCATGCGGCGCAGTCAATTTCATAGAGATAGAGGAGATCGCTAACCGACTGAGATTGGCTTTGGGCACGATCTACTTTCTCTCGTGATGGCATATGCCTTCCAGCCTCGATAATCCTATCTAACCATTGAATCTTTAGATTGGGCATATCTTGAAGCACCACACATGATCCCTTGAAGCCTACAGACTCAGTTTCGAGTCGGCGAACCTCCCCCAGGAGGGAAGATGACTTGATATCCCGTATCAAGCCCCCAAGCAATGCTATTGAACTCCAGGTTCACCTGGCCAATCTGACCCGCCTCGGTGATGGAGAACAAGTTAAACCCCTTGACCTCATACTGTGCGCTGCCAATTCCAGTGAAGAGCCAATACCAAATGATCTTGGTGCAGCCGGCAACCAGGATCTCGAGTGTGTTGACTCCCTGGACCGGGGGCGCATTGAGAACACCATTGATATACACTTGCTTGCCAGCAAAGGTTGCGGTTCCGAGCTTGAAGAACAAGAACGTTAGGCGCCCAGAAACCGAGGACAAGACTGCACAGGGGACTTACTGGCTGACCCTCGAGCGACAGGATCGAGTCGCTGATCTCGGTATAGTTGTTGTCGAGCACAGCCTGGGCTGTGGCATTGGCGGCTGTGACGTTTGTGTGAGTCAAAATCGAGATATACTGGTTGACAATCGATTCTGCTTCGCCCTGGGAAAGGCAGTCCTTCCAGCCCCCGCCGTCGCGGTTGGAGAGCGCGGAAGTAGCGTCCGCCATGACAAGAGCGAGAGGCAACAGAATGGAGAAGAGCTTCATGCTGAATGATCTTGGGCAAGAAGCTGGTCAAAGAGAGATACCCTGAGCAAAGGTCTGACGGCTGAGATATAACCCACAACTGCCAGTGGAAGAGAGACCGATCCCAAGCTTTCCTACGGCCTACTTATGGCTTTTCGACCTCGTCACATGACGACGGAAGGTGTATGCAGCGATGCTGGAAGCCGCCAGTAGTCGCCTGGATGACTGCATTTCACGCAAAGATCCCGCGGGCGTGCGTAGCGGAACGGTTTGATTGGCCAGAGGATCGCAGGCTCCCTGCAAATATGACCCGAGGAAGTATTGAAGCCGTTGGAGGGACGGGATGATGCCGTGGAAAAGCGTCGTCGATGTCCTGGAGGTTGGGAGACCATGTCACGATCTCTGGAGTAGACCTTTGTGCGACGAGCCCGAGGCAGATCGAGATGACCGGGGAGGCAGGGGATTGGGCGCGGTTGAGATGAGCAGCAGTGTCCACCCGCCGACCGGGAAGAGCTGCAGAAGTCAGGGCAGAATTGTCCGGGGTACGGGCACTGGAGAATCTAGTCTGGGGAAGGTCCAATCCATCGAGTCGTGCCTAAGCCTCTCGCCATATGAGAAATGAGAATCTTGATGTCATGGATGGTCGTCCAGACCGGCTGTCGGCTGCAAACATGGGTCTGGGTACTGAGCGTGAGCAACGGGTTTCGTCTGGAGCCGATGCTTTGCTTCCCGGGAGCCCGTCTTGCGAACCCGTGTCTCACTTGCGGTTGCTTGATTTGCTGGGCTGCTGAATAAGGTGTATTGTACCATCGGCCGTGAAAAAGAAGCAGAGTCTACCCGTTGATGGGGTGTTGGGACACGGGCTCCCACCTTGTTTGGGAACGGAGCTGTCGGACTGCCTACTCCTACCGCAGCAAAGGCGCTGTATTCGAATCTTGTCGGACGACGGAGATTACCTTGCAAGGAGTCTGCTCCCAGTCGAGTGAACCCAAATGTTTCTGTACAGAAGATAGATGTACCTCTTTCCAAATGTGTTGGTCCGAAGCGCCTTCTGCCGAATATCAGCGCTCTTTGAAAACCATATACACCCTCACGGCACGGCTCTCTTCGTCTCATACTCATAGATCCAGGAGGTTCTAGCCTCCTTGCCGACCCACAAGAAATAAGCCCACATCACCCATTCCTTGATGATCTGTTTGTATGTGCTGACCGATGATTTTCTCATGTTACCCCCGGTCGAAGTAAACTGAAGGATCTTCTTGGTACGTTCTCGCCTGTCCGTCTGCCACTGTTTCACAGACTCCGCGGGATCTTCGTCCTTGCCGTCGATCAGTGCAAGGGTGTCGGCTAGAGTGATGGCATCTTCAAAGGCCATTGCGGCTCCTTGCCCGCCGGTCGGTGGCATGGCGTGCGCCGCATCACCAATGACGATGACTTTGTTAGAGTGGCTGGTCCAGGAGTCCAGTTCAGGCAGCTGGAAGAATCTGTTCGACGCCATCAGCAGTGGTATGGGCCAACAGAAACATGCCCACCTTACGGCCAGATTGAGAGGGACGATGGTTCGATGTCTCTACAAGCAACATGAACGACTTCCGGCCAACTGTCATTCTCATGGTGCGATTGCAACTCAGTGTAGATTCCTTCTTTGTCGTTTTGAAGCTGGGCCCAACCCTCACGTGTTCGATCCTGGGCCTCGACTGTCGCCGCCACACCGACTCTATCTCCAGAATTGGTACACGGCATAAGCAAGAGTGAATTGAGCTTCCCAAGGATTAAACACGGCATGTACATATCCCTGTACGATTCTGGCAGTTTCGACAGTGGAAGAGTCCCGCCGACACCCATTTGGCCACTGAATCTGGGGATGCTGGTGGGGTCGAGGTAAGTCCGCACACGGGAGTGAATACCATCGGCCCCGATCAGAAAGTCGGCCTCTTCAATATGCCCATCGGCAAAGGTTGCGATGACGGTGGATTGGGCGGTCTCTCGCACGTCAACTAATCTGGAATTGTAGCGGAGCTCGATGCCTCGTTCATGAACAGCTTCCAGAAGTGTCTGCCGAACAATGCCTCGGGAAATCCTGAGAGCTTTGTATCCGTATCTTTTCTGACTGCCGTTCAGTACGGTTCCAATGAGGCTCAGTTTCGGGAAGACAAGATCTGGAGCTCCTCATAATTGTAGCCTTGTTTTGCTATCCGATCATACACCCCGAGCTGGTCCAGAACACGGAGTGCATTCGGGGCGAGGGCGATATTGCCACCTTCGAACGCCGTCCCGGAGCGCAGCTCGAAAATCTTGCTGGCTATATTGAGCCGCTGTAGAGCGAGGGCCGCAACAGGCCCTGCCAGCCCACTGCCGACAATGATCACTTTCATGCCGTTATTATGTTGGTTCGTAGTAACAGCAAATGCTCTGATAGAGACTCGACTCAAAAGGAACGGAAGTCAATGCCGAAGAATTGTAATGAACATGGAAGATGGAATAGGAATGGGTGACTTGAACGACCACAGATACCCGTGCACCCTAACAGCACTAAGTTGGCTGGGTGCACGAATCTGTTTATTATGCCACTGACCAGAGCGAGGCTGTGAAGACCACCACATAGCGGACCAGCATACCAAGGTACAGCTGCAATCGCGTTAGCCTTGCGTGCGTAGGACACAGCCACTGGTGTCAAGTAAAGTCATATTCCTCGAGACAAGGGGCGCTATTCTGTAGCCTCAGCCTCTTTGCCGGGAAGCTGCGGGGCGATCGTTGTTCTCAACGAGGCCAACATGAAGGACGGCACCACTAATCATTTGGAGCAGTCCATGCGAGCTGAACTCGTTTTCCGAGGGTGCGCCATCAGTGTTGGCGTTGGGTGCGCAGACGGATGATTGCACAGAGTCTTGAGTCTTTGCTTTTGACAACTGAAGGCGTGGCGATGTCAAACCATAAGGAAAAATGAGACCAGCAAAAGGACGAGTCCAGGAATAGAACTCTCACATCCGATTAGTAGTATCTGTACATCGTGGACCCATCCATACTTGGACCCCGCCGGTCTAGTTTGTCCCCAAAGCCCACTTGTGTGCCAACAGCAGGTAAGTGTGCTCCTCAAATGCTCAAATGAACAAGTCGTACCGTCGTCATATGTCCATTACTTGTCGAGATTCAACATCCAGTCACGCTGTGCAGAGACCGCTCAGAGAACTCCATTACGCTCCCAAACTTTTATATCAGTCCACCAACAGCGCCAAACACTGCCCCGGCACCTGCTGCGTAGAGCATTCCGGGGCAAGCAGTCTGGCGCGGTCCATCGTTTCCAACTTGGACAAATCCCGTCGTGGTCGTGGCAGTACCCCCGGAGCCGCTCCCAAAGATGCTGCACTGAGTCTCTTGCAAATTATAGCATCCGACGGCGCTGAGAGAGCTGCATATGCTGCTTGCTGAGCTCAGTACCGTGCCTGACGTCCCTTGCACGGTGATGCCCCCTCCAAACCCGGACACCGTGACGCCATTGGCTCCCGCGAGCGATACCAAGCAAGATGTCGATGCCGACTGACAACTCGAGTATGCGCTGGTACAGAGGTCGGCGTTGGCATAGGTTGTGGGGATATAGATGAAAGGATAGAAATTATTTGGGACCGTGGAACCGCCACCAGAAACGCCGGTTGTCAATGAAGTAATCTGGGGAGAGCTCGCCGTGGTTGAACTGGTCGTTCCTCCAAGCACGGGACCTCCACTGGTACTTGAGGTTCCAGTTGCTGACCCTGTGCCTGAACCTGACCCAGTGAGTGTGCCAGCTATTGTCCCTGTGCACACTGCATTGGAAGGACAACATGCGATATGCCCGGCCTCATCCAAGGCACAATTTGTTCCTGATGGACAGCAGACAGAATCGGCTCCTAGACCCGAACATGAGTTCAAGCCCGAGTTGCAGCTTTGGCGCTTGACGAGGAGGGCAGCGTCCGAAAGTCCGAACAAGGGATCGGAGTAGGGGGAATAGTCGTCTGCGACCGCTCGTTCCGTATAGAGGAGCGGAAGGAGAAGGGATGCAGCGCTGAGGCGCATGGCGAAAAGGACCGTACACGGTGCTCTGCTCGCACGGGTCGGGGCGGCGTCCGTTCACCGCTTAGGCATGAATCAGCGGGGATGCAGGAGGGTGCGGGTATGAATACTTGATACAAGAGCCAGACGGCTGGACTGTTCGTGTTTCTTCTTGAGCTCTTTGTAAAGGAAACCGTCATGGGATGGAAATGTACATGGCTTTGGTAGGTACGGGAGTACACAATCGGGCTGCACCACAAGCACAAGCTGCATTGGTGGCATAGAAGCGCAGGATGATGTCGCCGGGTTGTTCTTCGGGCCGCAACTTTTGTGTGGATATTCGATATTTTGGGTGGCATGGCAACCAAAATCTGCCGCACCTTTTCTGCCTCAACCTCAACTGCGCCTTTTTCTGCACCTCACGCTCACGCTCACGCTCCAGGCATTGATGACCTATTATGTATCAGGTCGGCCGATTCTTTGATACCCGGATGGTGGGTACATAACAGTTCTTGTAACCTCATGCTAAGCTTCTATACGGCAAGGTCAGTCCACCTACTTTACTTGCCTCCCTCCAAATGATGATCGAAACGTGAATTCTGCAATGCTGAAAGACCAACACAAAGGCCTTGATGCAGAATTTCTCAAATATATACTTATCTGACCCTTCCTTGACACAATCTGTCAGCGTGTACACAAAATTTAACGCTTATTGAATGATTGTTGCTGACCGGCACCCTATCTGGTACAGGCTATATCCTTCTCTACCACTTCGAGCCGCAGCCTTCATAATATGTCCTTGGAGTGAGGCCCCCCTGCATATAAAAATGTATCCAAGAGGATGCAGAAAGAGGAGCTTGGGAACGTTGGCTGTACGGTTGCAATATCTACGTGTGCTTAGCTTGCCCGGGACAAATGCAGTGCTACTAGGTCTTGCATCTGAATCAAGCATGTGGGAGCAGCGCAGAACCTACCTAAATAACTTCAGGAATCTTACTGCGCCCCTCAATTCCAGCGTTTCTTAAATACGTCTCTTAAGAGTAGGGAGTACTTCGGCGCAGTCTGCTCAACATCAGGTTGGCGTGCACATTGACGACATACAACTCTTAGCCCTCCACCGACCCTGGCAGCCGACAGACCAGAGGTGTTAAAGATAGGGATATGTACCCTGTAACAGCTAAGCCAACAACTACGGAGTACACCCGAGTCTGACGCTCCGAGTCGAAGTCGTACATCACCAAAACCCCTGATAGTCTTTCAGCCTTCTGCTTTCGATAACCATGCAGACTCAACGTTTGAAGCTATTTCCTTACCTTAGGCTGCCTTCCTTGGAATCAGCGAGCTCCTTCTAAGGTAAAAGAAAAGGGCCACTGTCTAAGTCCGAGGTAACATTCTACTGCAAAAGGACCAACTGAGGAGATTGCATCAACAGGCCATGGGCTACCCAGCAACCCAGTCAAGCATTTGAAGGCGTTCCTGCGCAAGCGACGAGAAGCCAGCTGCGGCCAATGATTGGTGCAGTGTCAAGAAGTTTTCCTAGCCTGTGAAGCCGAGTGTTACATGGCTTCTTGTCCATGTGGTTTGTGAAACCGGTTATCAGAAATAGGACCGGGTAGCCAGTGTTACCATGTACACAGCACAAAGATCAGTCACATTAACGTTGGCCATCGAGGAATTAAGTGTCCACCTTCGCTTCATTTTCGAAGGTCATTAGCATGCTGGTCAAAGAACATGCGTTCTGGCTGCCGTTCTAGGCCCATGGCCAATATTTTGGTAGGTGACATAGGTAATCGTCACATACTAATATACAGCATATCCAACCTCTCCGTCGCGAGCTCTATGTAACGACCTTTTTCGGATTCACCGGGCTATCATGGCCTCCCGCCCATCCTCTCCGGCGAGCAGCACGCTGGATCCCCTGCCAGACATTTTGCGACACGGCCTGGTGGCTGTCGCCTTCTTCGGCATCCTCTCTCTCGTTGCCACTTCCATCCTGTTCACCTATCTTACCTATCGACTTTGTTCCTGGTACTTCACAGGCCAGCTTCGGAATGGTGCTAACCAGTTCTTCCTCCTGATATACAACCTGGTTCTGGCCGACATTCAACAAGCCTTGGCTTTTACACTGACTGCTCGTTACCTCGCAACAGATAAGATCCAGGTTGGAACGACGACGTGCTGGGCGAATGGTTGGTTCATCTCCACCGGAGATTTAGCATCGGGGGTGTTCATTCTTGCAATTGCCATTCATACCTACTTCTTCCTGGTCAAGGGCCAACGAGTCTCCAACAAGGCGTTCATTACAGGAATCGCATGCGCGTGGATATTTGTCTATGGGATGGCCGCCATTGGTGTTGCAATGGATCGAGACTTGTACGTGAGGGCTGGCGCATGGGTAAGATACCTCTTTCCTGTGCAGCTGCTCAGACTGCTCATCTCAATACAGTGCTGGATCAACCATAAACACGAGAGCCTCCGCCTCTGGCTACACTATTTCTGGATTTTCATTTGCATGTTTGGAACTGTCGCCGTATATGCGCTGATATTTCTCTCAATTCGCACCCAGTCACGGCGCAACTCACAAGGGACCCTGGCTCTCCCCGATAATGGAAGCAATGCCGCGGTTCTGAGACGTGCTGCGCGATACATGGTCATCTATCCTGTGGTTTATGTGATCTGCACTCTACCACTTGCAGGCGGTCGCATGGCGTCCATGACGGGAAGTCCAGTCCCATATTGGTGGTACTGTTTGGCTGGGGCTGCTATCACATCCTGCGGCTGGTTAGATGTGCTTTTATATGCCTGCACCAGACGTGTCCTGGTATTCAGCGCCGATGCTCCCGCAGTGGATGATATTGGCTTGGACACCTTTGGCTGGAAATATTCCAGCGACGGATTTTGGGGCACCACGACTACAATAACAGGGCCCTTGGGCGATGGAGACCTTCAAAGACGGGACAGGAGAGGGGGTTTCGGCCGGTCCACGCCTCATTCGCTCCAAGCTAGAGCCTCAGACGAACAGCATTTTGCAGGTCAGCCCACAGGGGTTATCACTGCAAGAACCGACGTCGAGATCCGCTCCGGCTCCATACCTCAGTATGTCACGGATCCTGTCCCTCTTCCGCGCTATGCTCTGTCAGAAACGAGCGGGTGTGACACGGAGGGGAAGAGTGGTCATGAGTTGGTCTGGCTAGATGAGGGCGGATCAGCGTTGTGACCTGCATCTGTGTAACCGAAGGAAGGGATCAATACTACCGGCTTGGGAGTATGTCTACAGATATAACTGAAGCGCAGCATCTTTGATAGATTAAAGTATAGTTCCTGGTATAGTCCCGGCAGTCGCAATTGCACTGAATCCAATAGCGCCCCTGCCAGTCTGGCGATAGGTATGCAATTTACGCCAGTTGTGTCGATCCTGACATGAAGTAACGTTTGGCAGAACATACGAAGCAACAAGAATTGTCTTGACAGCTGGTGCCACTGGAGAGGAGTTTTATAGACAAGAACTGAATGCGGCAGGCGGACCCCACGTGAACTCGGAAACCAACTCGGTGTATTTCCGGATCGTGAGCTCCTCCACAGTCCTCCCCATGCCCCGGTTCTCGGGCGCAAGGAATCCCTCCAACGCTTCCATATCTGCTCCTCGTCTGTTTGATGTTCCAGATCTGCATTGACCAGGCCGATTGATAATCCTTCCTGAATGTTGGGCAACCACTCATGCCAATACTAGCGCATGATGCCGTAGAGCGACCTCCTTCGTCTTGAACCACCCTCCACGATGTACAGACCTCCACGACCGGTCCTGTACGGCCTGCGACGAGGCCTCCCTCGACCCTTCCGAACCTATGCCAGTACTCCCGAGCCAGCTCTTCGGACCGCGCTCTTCTTCCCTGGTCATGGAGTACAGAGAAAAGGCATGACGAGACCCTGGGTGGAAGCCTTTCCTAGAACATGCAAACCATTCCTAGAGGAGATGGACGACATTCTTCATTGCAAACTCTCCACCCTCATCGATGAAGGTCCCATATATATGCTGGACAAAACGGAAAATGCGCAACCTGCGATAATGGCGGTGTCGGTCATGATCCTGAGGGTGCTCGAGCACGAGTTTGGATTCAAGACGGACGAGGTGATTAATGTCACGCTGGGTCACAGTCTGGGAGAATACGCTGCCCTCGTTGCGGCTGGGAATCTGGAATATGCATATGCCCTCGACCTGGTTCGGAAACGAGGCGAGGTCATGGGAGAATGCACGAGAAAGGCCAAGGAAGAGTCGGGTGAAGACTTTGGCATGGTGGCCCTCGTTTGCGAGCCGGAGCAGCTGGAGTCACTGATCGCAGCGGTGAAAGAGTTCCTCAGTCAAGGAGCTGAAGGTACCAAAGATGACTCGAGTGCCCTACCAGCCATTCAACAGGTCTCCCTCGCCAATGCCAATTCCAAGAATCAAATTGTCCTCAGCGGCAGCTTTCAACGCATTCGCAACCTGTTAGTCCACATCCGAGAATTTGGCGGACATGATCCCAGGGCAGTCGAGCTGAAGTCACGATCGGCGTTTCATAGTCCGATCATGATGCCGGCTTATGAATTCATGAAGAAAGCTTTAGATCCCGACAAAGTGACATTTCCTGGCCGGGTGCCCTGCATCAGCAATGTGACCGCGCGTCCATTCAGCTCGAAGGAAGACCTCAAAAACAATCTTGCTAGGCAAGCCATCGACACCGTTTTGTGGTGGGACTCGATCAAGTACTTGGACAGAGAAGCAGGAACCCGTCGATACCTCGGGCTTGGACCAGGAAAAGTTGGTCGAAACCTTGTGTCAAAGGAAGTTGGTCGATCATCAGCAAAGGGCGGTGGTGTCTGGTCCATCACTGAACCCTCGGAAATAGAACCCAGTCTGCGAGCTTTGGAAGAAACTGCAAGAGAAGATGAAGGTAAAAGTGAGCAGGAAGCGTGAGAAGGCCGGGCTAGACGTCCAATACAAGAGAACGGGGGCACCAGGCATCAATGAGTATCCTGCTCAAGATGTCCTCAAACGGCTTTTTCGTATCGTTAGCGGTCTATGGGTGTACGTGTGACAAGAGAGAACTTGTGACGGAACAGTGAGTCTGCTTGTCATGTGCAAGTCCAGGACAGGCACCCTGAGAAGCATCGGTCACATGAGCCACCAAAATTCAAGGGTTATATTTTAATTCACCGCATTTTATCCACAACGCAAAGACCCCTAGAAGAGAGTTCAGGTCAAACCACTTAGCCGAGCGGTTAACAACACGGCAGTCAACAAAGTGGCAGGTGGCGATCTTCTAGGCGAAACAGTCCCCCGTTCGAGTCTCGATAAAACCCTGCGAACCCGGGTTTAACAACAACAACAACAATTCCTTCCAAGTTCAACAATCAAACCCTGCGAACCCGGGTTAACACCAACCAGCCAGCCGAAACGGAAAAACCCTGCGAACCCGGGTTTAACTTTCCAGGACCCCCATATCAAAGGGGCTCCTGGAAAAAGTTTTTGTCTCTCGAACAAAAGGATATCATATATTTTTTTTTGGATCTGGTTCTGTGTGTGCATGTGATGCCTGCTGTACAGTGCAGTGAAGCGGCCGAGTTGGTGGGTGTACCAAACACGATAAGTGGAGCTCTCATGCGAGCCACTGAATCCCAATGTTTAACCATATGGCACGGGGGTTCCTGACCATGTGGAGTATTGGATAGCAAGACTCCGTCTCTTGATCTCGATTGAGACGGCTGTCGACACAGCTATCTCGTGGGTTGAGAGAGCGACAGCGAGTGCTCCCGGGCGCAGTGACGCCGAACACAACATCGTAGCGTATGGCGATGACAACTAAGCCATTGGCTGTAATTGTATCCATGGACGATCACATCAATGCTTCCACCCCTCATCATGTACTCCGTAGTACTACACTGTTTGATGCCAGCCTTGCTGACAAACCACGGTCACGGGACACAATGCGGAGATACCGTACATAATCCACATGTCAGACAGGCACCTCCAGGCGATGGCAGGCGACCTGGCAGCCGGGGCGGCACCTCATGGATCTCTCCTTGCCACGACGTCAGACTCTCGACTCTCGACTCTCTTTTCTCCTTTCCCCCATGTTCCCACTCGCAGGGGTTGTCGTCGACTACTACTGAGTACTTTCTCCTCTGCACGTGCGACAGACCCGACTTTGCTGACGACGTCCGTACATAGAGCATGCATATCGCTCAACTTCAATGAGTGATTATCTCCCCTCCTTCATCGTCGAACCCGTCCTGCGCCAAGCACGGCGATTCTCTCGACTCAGTAGTAGTGCAGACGAGTCGCCCAGTTTCCTCCCTGCCGTCCCTGATCTGCAACGGTGGAATCCTTCCCGGCTGTGGAACACATCACCTCCTCCTACGCTGGAGGAGCCGGATGGAGAGAACCAAGAGACAACTGTGCAGTCCATAACCCGGACCATTCAATTATGGGCCAACCAGTTGAACGGCCTCGACCAGTTTCCCTCTCCTCCCCTACAGGCAATGGATGACTCTGGCCATGAATCATTACTACAAACAACAGCCGAATTTCCTCCACTCGAAGCAGAAGCTTCGTCACCACCGCGGCCATCCTTGTTGGAAGATCATCGCACCAGCAGTGAAACCTCACTCAATCCTGCTCAAGAGTTGTCATACAGATCCAGAGTCCATGAGGTTCATGCGAGACCTCATGCCTCGTCTGATCCGCTTGGGGCTGGTTACACCGGGTCTTTGAGCGCTCACCTGGCGGATATTGGACAGGAAGACTATAATACTGGCGTCCACCGCCAGCGAGATGCATCTGGTACATTACCCGAAGATGATGGGATGGGTCCTCTCCGAAAAAAAATCCGTGCGATTTGGGAAGGACCGAGCACCCCAGTCGAAAAGTCGAGGCTTGTCCATAGTTTGATGATGGAGCGATATCAGACCACGCAGAGAATGCGGCCTGCCAAAACGCCTTGGCGGTCACTTGATCCTCCTCTACGACCGGGATCCTCCAGCTCGATGATGTCGGGGGCTAGTCAAGAGATCATCTACAACCTCATTCCGGAAGATCTCGTTCCCACCTACGCGCCCCGAGACGAAGCCGCTCCTGGAGTACTAGACTCTGCGGCAGATTCATCCACTCCGGAGCTTGGCTGTATTCATTATAAGCGCAACGTTAAAATGCAATGCAACCTGTGCGAGAGATGGTACACATGCCGATTATGTCATGACGAGGTGGAGAACCATACCCTACCACGCCGAGAGACCAAGCACATGCTCTGTATGCTCTGCAATACACCCCAACCAGTGGGCCAATTCTGCAAGATGTGCCATGTCCAGGCCGCATGTTATTACTGTCCTGTCTGCAAACTTTGGAACAATGACCCTGCCAAGTCAATATACCACTGCGACGACTGTGGCATATGCCGGCTGGGGGAGGGTTTGGGCAAAGATTTCTTTCATTGCAAGACGTGTGCGGCGTGTATGTCAATCCAGGCCGAAAGCACGCATAAGTGCATTGAGAAGAGCACCAAATGTGACTGCCCCATCTGTGGAGAGTACTTGTTCACTTCTAACAAGCCGGTGGCATTTATGCGTTGTGGCCACAGCATTCACGAGTCATGCTTTGCAGCATGGTGCAATGCCAGCTACAAATGCCCCCTATGTTCCAAAAGTATTGCCAATATGGAGAGCCAGTTTCGGAGACTGGACAGACACATCGAAGAACAGCCGATGCCCGAGGAATATCGCGACAATAGGGCGTACATTTTCTGCAACGATTGCAATAGCCGGAGCGTCACCAAGTATCACTGGTTGGGACTGAGATGCGCCATCTGTGAATCTTACAACACGACCCAGTTGGAGCTTCTAGGCGCCGGCGAGACATCCCAACTCCAGGAAGCACAGGAACGTGCTGCCCAGGAAGCCAGAGTCTGTGAGGCGGCCATCACGGCGAGTCAAAGCCACACTCCGACCGATCAGATGACACAGCCGGTGGACATTGCCAGGGCTGCTACCATTGAGATGCCCCCCGGTTCGATCGAGACAGAAATACGATCTCCGACAAGTAGGTCGTCGTGGCTGTTGCCCCATTCACCGACGGCTCGATCCACCCGGTCGCCATCGCCAGTGGTCGGAAACGGCAATTATTTCGGCACCGGTCAGCGCGGCGTGGAAACGGTTGCTGCGGAACCTGTACCCAGACGCGGAACCACACCTCTGCAAGATGACGACAGCTTGGATTTCTGGGGGCGGCCAAGTTCACCGAGTCAGCACGAGGGGCTGGAAGCTGGTGTCGGTTCCGAATCCGAGTCCGAGTCGGAAAGTAGTGATGACAATGCTATGGAGGATGATGAGGATGACGGAGAGGAAGAGGAGGACGCTATGGATTTGATACTGATTGGGCACAGATGAGCAGAAACGAAACATAAATGAAACATGGCTACATGTCACCCAGAACAGATGGAGATGAGCTATGGTATGAAACAAAATATGGCAAGAAGGGCATTCGCTGTGAATTTTCTCTGGAGGCGTAAGGGGAGCGGGAACGGAGATGAGTGGGCTTGGGATAAAGGCGGGAATATTGCATACCACCACAGTAAAATACTTAGCTCTTGATATTTGTTGCTGACCACGCTATTTGTTGGACGGGGCGGCGGATGTGTAATGGCTTCAATTGGACGAAGAGGGAGAAGAGGGCGGAGCCTGTAGGAGAGGAGGAGGAGGAGGAGGAGGAGGCTGGATTTTAGAGGGTACAAACTCCGCTATACCCGGCACCTAGATGATGATGCCATCGCCAATCGGCAAGTCGCCGGTCTCTTCCCATATATGAATTATACGGGATATATAAACCATCCCCATGCCGGCCCAGCTATCCCCAGCATAGTCCGATATCTTTCCCGGATTCTGGAACGCACGATTAGAGCGTAGCCGACTTGATTACAATCTCTAGGTGACTTCAGACGTCAGACTTCCGCGCGGGTTAACTCTCCTACTCCAACTTTATCGTACTACATCAAAATGGGCGACGCCGGCATTCCCAGATCTCTCCAGGAGAGCCTGGACAATACTAAAGTCTCCTATGTCCAGCTGGGCGCATCGGGTCTTCAGGTGTCCGTCCCCATCCTGGGAGCCATGTCTATTGGTGAGTTGATTCCTCTGTGGGATCTCTGTTGGGATCTCTACCTTTTTGTACTCTATTAGGGGTTGGCATCTCGTTGTCTCACGTCAAAAGACGACCAAAAGAGGCGACGGTAGGCTCGGTGAGAGAGAGGAAACAGATAGCCGGCTGCCTTGACTCAAGATCAAGACGGCCTGGCCATTCACGTGTCGAATAGTGCCCTTCTCATTTGTCCTAGCGACTGACCAATTTCTTCTCCTACCAGGCCACAAAGACTGGCAGCCCTGGGTGCTCGACGATGAAGCCGAAGTCGACAAACTCCTCAAAGGCGCCTACGACCGTGGCCTCAATACATGGGACACCGCCAACGTCTATTCCAACGGCGTCTCGGAGCAATTAATCGGGGCGACCATCAAGAAACACAACATTCCGCGCAAGAAGCTGGTCCTGTTGTCCAAAGTGTTCGGCACGGTCGGCGAAGAACCAAGCGTGTCCCACATAAAGTACCCCGACCTAATCAAGAAGAGTAAGGACTACGTCAACCAGGGGGGGTTGAGCCGTGCGGCCATTTTCAATGCCGTCGAGGCTAGTCTGGAACGCCTGGGGACAAGCTATCTCGACTTGTTGCAGATTCATCGGTTCGATAAGAAGGTACCGGTCGAAGAAACCATGAAGGCTCTGCACGACCTCGTGCAAGCCGGCAAAGTGAGATATATTGGTAAGCCGAGCAAGTCTTTGATCGAGATGGAAATGTCCTTCATCTTTGCTTTTCCCCGGCATTGCAATTGGAATCATACTAATATTCCTTGTGTGTACAACCAGGTGCCAGCAGCATGTGGACCTATCAATTTGCGAAACTGCAACACGCCGCCGAAGTGCACGGCTGGACCAAATTCATCTCGATGCAGAACCATTACTCGCTGTGCTACCGCGAAGAAGAGCGCGAGATGATCCCTTACTGCCACGAAACGGGTGTCGGCTTGATTCCATGGGCGCCCCTTTATCGGGGCCTTCTTGCGCGGCCGTTGGGCTCCGAGGCCACCACACGCGAATCGACCCTGAAAAACAGCCCTATCTACAGCGGCATTTCCGAGGCCGACAAGGAGATCATCAAACGTGTCCAAGAACTGGCCGAGAAGAAGGGATGGAAGCAGAGCCAGGTTGCTTTGGCGTGGATCATTCAGAAAGGAACTGTGCCAATTGTTGGGTTCAGCAGTCTCGACAGGCTTGACGAGGCAGCTGCTGTTCGAGGCAAAGAGCTGTCAGCTGAAGAGATCAAGTACCTGGAGGAACCGTACCAGCCGAAGGCGGTCGTGGGCCATACTTGAGCTGGTGTGCTGTGCCAGGCTGGACAGGACGGGGGAGGGTAGATTGCAGTCATCGCATGTCGGCCTACTCTAGGTCAGATATAGCAGTAGCAGCGCCAATGACAAGTGTTAGCAGTTGCCTGCTCGACATCAAGTCACCATCTTGCATCTTGCATGCTCAGTGGCCACACCAGACCATCCCACTCAGGACATCAACGGCGCATTCAAAAAGCTGCGGTTCCCTGAGCGTCTAGTCCGCCGTATCCATATCGGCAGTAAACCAACGGCGGATCTTTGAAGCCAATATGGTATTGTATGATGCTGGCTTGGCGCCTCATCACACGGACGTCGAGATATGCAGGAGGGAGTAAGTAGTACAGTAGTACAATAGTCACTCCATGCAGTACAAGGTAATACTTAATACCTTATACCTCATACCAACTGGCACCTTGAAATCTCATCTCAGGCTGTATGGCTATTTACCAAGACTCAGACCGTTCTTGACGCGCTTGTCCGGTCCGGAGCAGAATTGGCAATTGGCTGAGCCTTGCTCGAAAATGTCTTTCGTCTGTTGGCAACATCATTCGCAGACCTTCATAATCCTTCCCTCGGATGGCTGATGTCGAACGGGCAAAGCGTATACAACACGCTCATGAATCAAATGCCCTAAGCTACGGCCATTTTGGCACCGCCACCTACGATGATCAACTCCACAGCTGGACGTTTCTACGTCAAACTCAAATCCAATCCGAGCTTCCTCTGGAAGATGGGAATGGGACCGGCCCTGAGTCCATTCACGATCCTACCGTTGAGCCGGCGCATTCCAATCTGTATTCTGGCTCTGCATTTTCCCTTATCCAGGAGCGACTATGGGCGGGTGAGCCTGGTCGTTCGAAAGGGCCCGAGGATGAGTTACGCGTGAGTGATGCAATCGAGGATCATGCGGCCGGTATTGGCGGCAAAATCATATCACCAAGGAAGCCATCCCATGCTGGGAAGAACACCTTTCTCAAACAAATCCCTGACGCTGCGCTCGCGGTCTTCCATTTGCCCACGACGGATCCCCCCTATGCTGCGCTGTCTGTAAACAACGGCAACATTCTGGCTTTTGGCAACGCTAGACTGGCTTCTGAGCATGGTGCACGGAACAGCCCCCTTCGATCTATTGTGGCCTTTGCTGCAGGCCCTGGCGGGGCGATACTTCGCCTGCTTGGTTTGGATGCGAGTGATGTTCCCGTCCGCGACAGTTCCGGATTGGAGCAGGTCTATAGTGTTCCCGCCATTGGACATCAAGCGCAAGGCTATTGGGCCAACTCGGCAGAGCCTGTACTACATGTATCTTCTTCGGCACACCAACACCGGGCGCAGTTCCTCGTCGTTAAATCAAGCGGCACCAGCATTTTACGCCCGCTCATGGTCGACAACGTGCGTTCAGACACTAGCACATCAGACAACTCCCGGAATGGGTCGCACAGTGCTGGGTCGCTACTCCAACCGACCCCGGTGGTGACCGTTCCTACTTCCAGAACCGGAGGCAACCCTCATGCGCACGCGGCCTTGAACCCTCAAGATCAGAACTCTTTGGCAGTGGTAGACACCCATGGATTATGGAGCATTTGGAAACTCAAGGGGACAAGAGCTAGGTCTGCCCGCGTACTCTTTCGGGTGCAACTAGCATGTTCTAATGACCTGGCGAATTCTACGGGCATGTCTCCTTCCACCAATGGTCGGCTACACTACGACGGCTGGCATAGAATTTGCTGGCTCAAGGGCGAACAAGGCTACATCGACCGTATTCTGGTGTGCAACCGACGATCTGCCGCCGTGTTTGAACGCACAGGTGCTTTGGTCGGCTCAGTGGACATGCGATTGGGCCCTTCATCAGAGGGGAATGAAATCCTGGACGTGCAGAACAGCGATCGGCAAACGGGTCACGTTCTGGTGTTGACTACTTCACGCTTACTGATCTTTACCTCATCCGAGGCTAGTTGGAAAGACCAATCGGGAACTGAGCCATTGGCTCTTGTTTGTTCGTGGAATCATTTCCGAGCACGGGATGATTCGTCCTTGCGCATGAGTTTGTGCGAGTTTCCACGAAGTGAGTGGCTGTTCATCTAGCGGGTCGAGTGACACTGACTTGTATAGCGACCTGCGTGCTGGTTTATTCACGGGCGAGCTATCTCACCGTCGTATATCAGTTCGGACCCGACCGGTCAAACCGGAATACCGTCTCGTTGCGAGATCCTTCGATCTTCGAGATACCACGGCAGCTTCAAGCACGGATGAAGGACGTTAACGAGATTGTTCTCTGTCCCGTCAAGCCCGTTGCCGCCGGCTATGCACCTACTCAGACTGATGACGGCTTTCTCAAGCTAGCTGCGTGTTTGACGGATGGCACCATCATCGAAGCGGTGTATAAGCATAGAATGGGAAAGCAATGGGAGACCTCCGAGGATGGTCTCAAGCAGACCTTCAGCTTGTCTCTCCCTGAAACCACTGGGAACCGGGTACAAAGTGCCAAATATGTCGACGAGGATGAACTGGATGAACTGGATGATTTTGTTGTGCATGATGAAGTTCGCGAACAGCGAATTACGCAGGATGGTGGCGCTCTCTCGCAGAGCGACACAGACTCGCCTCTTGACTCGCGCCTTCGAAATTGGGAGCGCCTGCTCGAGTATGAAACCTTATCAGACAGAGCTCATGCTTCTTACCATCTTGAGGATGTACTCTTCGAAGCTGCCCAACGAATTCATGCCATGAGCTTGGAGAACAAGATTGACCGCATGTACTTGCTATCAGATATTCTTGGAGCGTATCAAGTTGCAGACGTGGAGCAGGACTCGGAACTCCTCAAGTCATGGCTCGATGAGTTGAGAAACAGTGAAGGCGTCTCGGTTGAGTCGACTACTCCTCATCTTGGTCTTCTCCCTGGCGCTTCCCAAGACAACTTCCTTGGACTCTATGACGAGTTGATTGCATCTTATATGGAGTCATTCCTAGAAAGAGTCACAGATCGAAACCGGGTCAACCGGGAGAGACTGGTTCGACAGGCTGCCGCCGATGCACACATGAGTAATGTGGGCTTGAGAATTGGCAAATCTGAGCCGGCGAAACCCAAAGCAACCATCGCAGGGGAGGAGGTATCGTCGCCGCCCCCGGAGTCGGACCAGGAAGGAGCCTGGTCCTCTCAAGTGTCTGGATCTCAAAGTCCTCTGGTACAAGAAGAGCCGGCAGTAGCTCGACTGCGAAGATATGCGGAGTTTCAAGAGGTGGTACCTTCTTTACAGCTTTCTGAGGATCCGAATATATCAAGCATACTAGCACACCTACCGGACTCGATAGACGAAGATCCTGCCGAATACTCGTACCGCCAGGTAACACAACGATGGAAGCTTGCGCAGGAAGAGATGGCAACGCAGTCGCTAGACCCGCGAGAGAGACGCAAGGCGGCCAGGCACGCCGCTCGTCTACAGAAAAAGCTGGACAGGACGATCAAGATGAGTCAGAATGCCTTCATGCAACAAACGGTGCTGCCGAGCATTGCCACAGGAAGTACCAGTATTGGGGTGACGCTGCCGGGAAGGGAAGTGCAAAGCAGTCAGATGGCTGCACCGGAATCGAGTCAAGCCGCCAGCCAGACCCAGGGGGGTATCCCTGGACTGAGCATGACCCAACCTGAAAGAGGAGCCTTTGGAAGGAGGCCTGCGAAAGCGAAGGGAAAGGGGAAGGGGAAGAGCCAGAGAACTGCCGGGTTTTGATTGAGGATGGACGGATAGTGAGGTCCATACGTACTAGGTACCTAGGTCGGCACCAAAAGGGCTCAGGGCACCTGTAAGTGCCTGGTAGGTGCCTGGTAGTTAGAGGTATATTAGGTACCGTATATGCTGCTGGTAGCAGCACGCCTAACCTAAGCCTCAGGCCTAAGGAGCCTTTAGCCCTAGGGCCCTAAGCCTGGATGCCTAGCGCAGGGTTACCCCGGATTTTTGCATTCTCCATACTATTACGTAGCATCCGCGGCACTTCGCGGGACCTGAAGAGGGTGGAGTTTAGCAGCACGCCACCACGGCCACAAGCACCTGACTGAGCTGGCCAGGCCCCTTAGTCCATGCACCCCACTGCTACGACGTAACATGTTGCTCAAGTGCTCACTACTCTGCTCAGGTGCCTGTCGCGTGAGTCTGTGTCTGCGTCTCTCAACCAGAAGGAAGCCCAAGGGCGCCTAAGGAGCCGAAGGGAGCCAGTGACTCAGTTTACTATGATGCTTCCATACCCACTTCTCCTACCGACCGCTCCGTGCTCGTGATCGTGATCATACTCCGTACTCATGCCGTGCTGCTCGTGAACCTCAACACTGACCACCCTCGTCTTACCCCTCAATTGCGTCCACTCGTCTACCTCCTTCCCACTACCTGACCTGACCTAACTATCCTGCTCTCCTCCTGTTGTCCTCTTCTTTCCTTCTACCAACCATCACAACCAAACTTGAAGCATTTTCACTGCCAATCAATCCCATCTCTCCAACCATTGATTGGTTCCTGGTAAGCCTTCCTTTCTGCTTGCTTCCTCCTCTCGTTTGCTTACACCTCTCTAGTCACTACATACTAGGCCCCAGCCTCAGTAGATCTGTACCTCGTCAATCCATCACATCCACCATCAATATGTCTGCCGACACATCGAAACTCACAAAGGTCGACTCTGCCATCGGCGGCGTAGCCGGTTCGCCCCCCAAGGATCATGGAAAAGAGACCAAGCGAAGAACAACATCTAGTGCTCCTGGTGTCATGAACCTGAACGACCTCGGTAAGGCCCTCGGTGGACATTCTATATGGCGAGCTGACTAGGACTAGAGAAAGAGGGTACAAAGATCGCGGTCGCACTCGAGACCCAGAAAACAGGCTGGTAAAGCATCCTATCTGCTAGCTAGCCTCATCAATAACCACTGACCTCATGCAGGAAACTCAACACCTCTCCCAGCTCGATCGAAGACGCATCCATCCTGAAGAAGCATCTGACGGAACCACCTGTGAAGAAGATCGACCTACACTTCCCCTTAGGTCTGGAAGTCACGGCTCGAAATCTGAAGGGCGTCACCATCAAAGATGCTCTCGATGCCATTCACAAACAATTCAAGAAGAAGGTGGGAGGTGCCAGAACGCTTCCAAGACAAGTCCATTGACGTTTTATCTCTAGGCCGACGACGAGCTGGAAGAGCCATACCTGAAAGGTTTCGAGTGGGACCCTGAAGAGTCTTGGACGAGACTGAAGGTCCACACCCAGAAAGAAGGTGCACCGGCGAGCAAAAAGTCCAAGAAGAAGGCCGCCAGTGAGGACTAGTTGAACCATCAGTGAATGTACACCAAAACGCTTCGGACCGAGCCAACGACACGACGGGAAACTGCTACACCGAAAAGGTCTGATACCGGTCGAATATGTTACCTGGGACTTTCGTTGTGTTGTGCTGTGCATGACATGGTATGGTGCTTACGGGACCTTTCATATGGAGCGGACGTGGACATCAAGATGGCATCGAGCTTGCTCGTTTAGACCAGTAATGGCATATCCGGGTGACATGGTATCCTGACTCGGAACGGTATCAGGAGGCTCAATGTGTAGGGTACCATAGGTAGCTATGCCGACTCAACCATGAAACGAATGTATCCCGGCCCTCTGATACGCACACAGCAACAGTAGATTCAAGTCCGTTATCAGCGTCTTGGTTTAAAACAGGCCGAAGACTACCACATCGGCTGGTCAGTAGTGTTCGGTTTCCAACCTTGTAGGATGCCATCGATTCTGATGTGAGATCTGGTCAACCTGCAATCCATTTTCCCTCTAACTAAATAACAAGTTCCGATCAACCGGACCACTGGAAAGCAGTGTCCAGTGTTCGGTTTCCAACCTTCTAGAATGCTATCGATTCTGTTGTGAGATCTGGACAACCTGCAGTCCATTTTCCCTCTAACTAACGAGTTCCAATCAACCAGACCACTGAAAAGCACTGTCCAGTGTTCCGTCCACGCCGCCAACCGGCCACTACCACTACCGAGAGATTTTGGAATTCATGCCCACAATGGCCCGGACGAGGTCCCAGTCGCCGCCCAGGCCGACCCAGTCGGTGACGACGATGCCGGTGCTCCAGTTGCCGGGCTTGACGCGGCCTTGGTCGTCCAACATGTGTTTGCGGCCCAGGTGGGCGGTGACGGCCGGGTTGACCTCAGCGGCGATCTTCTCGGGCCAGGTGCCGACCTTCCAGAAATTGCTGGCGCTCAAGAAATTGACGTAGAGGGGAAACTTTTTGGTTTTGTTCTGGTCGGCGGCGTTGGCGTTGGCCGGGAGGAAGTCGCAGGCGCCGCTCCGCTCCAGGTGGTCGCGGGCAAAGGCGATCTTCTTCTCGATGGAGGGCCGCTCGAGGACCTCGTAAAAGTCCTGGACGCAGACGTCGCCGGACGGACAGACGGCGTGGGCGGTGTTGTCCTCCCAGACGTGGGCGTCGATGCCCCAGCCGCGGCCGGCCCACTCGCGGCGGAGCGAGTCGTCGAGCACGAAGCGGCGCAGCAGGACGATGCGGCCGCGGGCCTCGGCCAGGGTGGGCACGCGCGGCTCGGTGAACCAGAGGCGCGGGTCGCGGTCGACGTAGTGCTTCTTCAGGATGCGCGACAGCTGCTCGTCGGTGCCCTTGCCGGTGCCCTCGCGCTTCAGCGACACGACCAGCGTCTCGGACGGGTGTTCCCTCAGGAAGCGCAGCATGTCGTCGTACAGGCCGCGGAACGGCTTGTTGCCCGACAGGGCGATGGGGAAGGCGGCATGCACCAGGTTGAGCTTGTCGGACTCGACGTCGAACGGCTCCGGCACCTGCACGCGGATGTCGAAGAACCGCACCCCGTTGTTCAGCTGCTCCGGAGGCGACACCGCCTGGCACCGCACCGACGGCGGCGCGTTGTGGCACGTCGGCGAGTTGTGCGTGCCGGGGATGGACAGCGCGCCCAGCGGAGCGTGGTCCGGCAGCTCCTTCATCCACGAGTCCAGCCGCGACGTGTTGAACAGCGCCACGAATGAGGTGTCGGGCAGGAAGATGCCGGTGAAGCGCTGCTTCGGGTTCGAGGCCAGTGCCACCAACGACTCGGTCGCCGCCGTCGGCACGGGACAGTACATCTGGTGCTTTTCGTTGGCGTCGGTCTGGAACGTCAGCCGCAGCCGTTCCGATGCCTTGTTGACCACGGCCTTGATGTCGGTCGGCACCAGCGTGAACGGCGGCAGCTTGATCGACACCTCGCGGGTCGCGAACGGTCGCGCGCCAGCGTCGATCTGAGGCACCGCTTTGCGTGTTGTGTTGTTGGTCAGCCCGATGCTGTTGGTCACCGCCGCCAACGACCGCGTCACGTTTTGCATCTGGAATGGTGACCCGTCATCCTCGACCGGGTCGAAATGTTCCACCAGTACCAGCGTCAATGCATTGTTGCTGATGTTGCGAATCGTCAGGGGGGGAGCCATATTGGAGGAGGTGGAGGAGGAGGATGACAACGATGACGATGACGACGATGACAATGACAACGAAGATGACGATGACAACGTGCGAGGCTGGGAGAAGGAGGCAAGATGATTGATGCCCAGGCTAGATCTGGGATGGCAATACAATATAATAGCCTGAGGTTAGGGCTTAGGCTTAGGCTTAGGGCTCAGGACTAATAAGGCTCCTTACATTCAAGTTGTACAGTACGAACACGCCTTGGCTTCAGCTCGTCCAACTTACAGTATGGAGTAGGGAGTACCGTGAAGAGCTCAGCTCCGTGGGTCTAGCAAGACAAGCTGAAACTGAAACTGTTAGGTCATCGGCACGGCGTCTATCATCGAGCTCAGCTTTGCAGGGCTCCAACGCTGCAGCGACAAGAGATTTAGCGGGGTGACAGGGGGTAAGCTGTCTGTCCCTGTACTACGAAGAGCGAATCACTGGGGGTTCTGAACAGGCGAACCGCGTCACCGTCTTGGCTGAGGATCAGTCCCAGTCCCAGTCCGAGTCTGCAGCCTCAGGGTCTAAGGTAAGAACCAAGTTAAACACACCGACACCAAGGGATACAGGGGATGCAGGGGATATGAAGTTCAACATCTCCAGGTCCAGGTCCAGGTCTACACGGTACTTCTATAGACTTAGAGTCGTTTGCTGTTCACAGCATAGAAAACCCAGAAAACTCTAATAGTATGGTTACTACTCGTAGTATGATTTGGTTAAAGAGAATCGCTAGACAATCGAGCCAACAGGAATGGGCTGATACAGGGCGCCAAGCTAAGCCAAGCCAAGCCACTAACCACAACCCCCCCCACAAATTTAATCCTCGTACTTATGATAATACCACCGCATTTCCTTTCGAATTCGTCCAACAGACGATTCAGAGATTCACATCTCGATCAAGCGGTGTGGCGCAGGGGAAGCGCGCCGGGCTCATAACCCGGAGGACATCGGATCGAAACCGATCGCCGCTATTACTTTTTTGGCGCTAGTCAGTGATGATGAATTACTTTTTGGGTCGCATGTTCGAATCTTCTTTTCGGTAGAAATCCTTTTTTGAAGTTCGATGGTTCAAGTTTGGGGACTTTTTGTCTTTTTTTGGGGGTCATAAAGCATCAGGTGACTTGACCTGGCATGCGGAGGATGCGCCGTAGGTGCGCCGAGTCTTACTACCTACCTGCCTAAGTACTTGCTCTCTATTGAATCTCTCGCTTTGTTCCAATGTTTCTTGCACTCTACCTATATCGAACACGAACACGTTACTTGACGCTGTCGAGTGCGTTGCTCTGTCTGAGTGCGTTGCTCTCCCGATGATTCCTTGTAATAACTACGATAGCTATAGGTAGTACTTGATAAAGATGGAGGGCACCTTTGGGACAAGCGGTTCTCCATGTACATGATACTCAGGCACCTTCCAGGAGCAATATAGCCTCTGAAATGTTGCTTCAATATCTAGGTGCCTACCTAAGGTACTAACATGTCACACTCCTCACTTCTCCCTCAGACTCTCTCAGACCCTTTTCTGCCTCTCTTGCCTCTCTTGCCTCTCTTGCCTCTCTTGCCTCTCTTGCCTCTCGTGTCACACCTTGAAGATCTTTGAGCAACACTGCGACCTTCCAACCATGGCTTCTGAGCCCACAAGACCAATCTCTCACACTGCCGCTGACCACGATGAAGACAATGAGGAAGTTCTACTGCCTGCGCCTGACGTCGACGTGACGGCCACCAGTCTCTGGATTCATCCGACAAACCCTGATGCATTGTCTGCTGAAGAATACATGACGTACAACAACATGCTCGTCCTCGCAGACTACCATCGCCTTATTCAGCAGAACTTCCAGCGTCTATTCGCTATGTTGGGGAGATCAAGGTATGTATTCAAATATCTCGTCGGCGTCTTCCAGGCTACTAAGAGCCCGCTGCAGTCGTGAAAGTGCTTCTCGGTCTCGTTCCAGATCTAGCAATCGAAGTGTCAGCGAGGCAGATGATATCGACCTGATCGATTTACACAGTGACGAGGAAGAAGAAGGAGGAGGAGGAGGAGGAGGAGCAGATGAAGGCGATGATGGCGCTCAGCAGAGTAAGCCGAAACGGACAAAGAGGCTCAACAAAAGCACTTCCGAGAAAAATGCGGATGGGACTCAATCTGCCATTCGATCGGCCCTGGCTTTGATGGAGCAAGGCGAGGAAATGCTTCTTCTTGTCTACAAAGATTGGATCGCTCTTCAAAAGAAAGATGTCCGCAGAACCCGCAGCAAGACAAACGATCATCTGACGGACGTGAACACCTTTTTTGAGCAGCATCTACCGGAACATGAGGCAGCTACCAACGAGCAGGAATTGATCACTCGCCTGCAGGCCGAAACCGAGACTGTCAAAGACGAGATATACCTTCGGTTAGGTCGCGCATTTGCAGAGCAAGAGCCTGATATCAACAAGGAGCTCGAGCACTCGGTGCCACACGGCTCAAGACAGGCTTTATGTCGAGGAGGTCCGTCGACCCGGTTGATTCCAGAGCGTCTGAGGGACCAATTGTCCTACAACGCTCCTGCCAATTTCGAGCGTGAGCCTGCGCGGTTCAAGGGCGTGCTGGTACTGAAGAAGCTTTGATGGAATGCGACGAAGGGGTAGGCTATCAGAGAAGCTATCAGAGAAACAGGCAGAGTAGTTCACGTGCAATAGGTGTATTTCATCGAAAAAGATGTATTCTTTATCCCTCAAGCTCTAGCCGAGAAGGACTTCCATAACATTAACATTGAAAGCACTTTTAGCGCCCATGACCATTCACAAAAGAAGCATTCTAACATTAATCAAAGTCGACCTCATTGTCACTGCCACTGTTGTGATCCGAAACTCCTGCCTCAGCTCGCCGTTTCTTCCGTGGCTGGCTAATGGCGGACGATGCAGTCGGGGATGACGCTGGATGGCGAGTCGCGTCAGGTCTGATGTTCAGGGAGACTCGTCTCTTCTGCGCCGAGTGTCCTGTAGAATTTGAGCTTGAAGCTTGTCGACCGCTGGAACTCTGACGGAATTGCCGTCTTTTGTCGGCGTCTTTCGTGATATCAGGCCCTACTCAAACCGCTGTCTGAGATCCTGATTTTCTCTAAGACACTTGATGATAGTCTCGATCGAGACGTCTCAGTGACAGCGACATCGAAGTAGGGTAGACTGTAGAGATAATGCCTGGAATTGATTGTCCAGTGCGGATTCCACAAAGGAAGCATTTCTAACATGTCTGTCTTGTGTCCCTAGTCAAAGTCGACATCATTCTCACTGCCACTGTCATGATCCGAACCTCCGGCCTCAGCTCACCGCTTTTTTCGTGGCTGGCTAATGTCTGAAGATATAGTCGGGGATAAGGCTGGGTGACGAGTCGCGCCAGGTCTAATGTTGAGGGAGACTCGTCTCTTCTGCGCCGACCCGGTCGGAATTGCATGAGATCCGGCAGTTTGTCCTCAGGAGTAGAACCTGTGTTACCTATTAGGCTGTACAGGTAAAGTTCTCTGTGAGTAGTATGTTGGCTTTTGGGGATAGTGGTAGAAGGCCGTGAACCATCTTCCCTTCTAGAGAATCGAGGGAAGTCACCATGGCAGTAGCATATGGTTACTACGTAGAGGCTCAAGCTGTGAGTCACAATGGAGAAGACAGTCACGGACTGCAATATTGTGATATGGAAGAGCTTCCTGAACCCTTCACGGCAAGGCTGGTGAAGGCGGTTCTGGGTGACTCTGAAGGCGCGATGATGGAGACTCCAGACACAAGAGCCTCATTGCATTTGGGGACGATCCTATTCCGCCAGGGTCAGATTCAAGTCTTTGGACCAGTGAAGATTTGTATAGGTAAAGTAAAATATTAGCGCATAGGGACCCATATGTCTTTTGTAAGGATGGCCATGGGAGAATTTCAATACTAGAAATAGGAGAGTCAATGTAGGGAGGCCGTAGAGTATATCCAGTATATTAGAAAGATAATTATCCGGTAGAGTTGGAGGTTTCCCTAATCTTATAGAAGTAGTAGTTGGACAAACCGCCTTTAATTCTGGCAGCCACCCTAAGGCATACGAGCGAAAGCCGATCGATGCCTTTTGAGGTGCGATCGTCACGATCACGCCTTGCGCGACATTGGCATTGATGATGCCACCATCGACACGTTTGTCGCGCAGTCGGTGCTTGTACGGAGTACTCTGTACGGAGTCCCCTGAACAGATTATTGCGAGGGATGGTGGGGGGCTCAGGCTTCTCAACGGAGATTTCCTAACTCGTTTAAATGGTCCAAGGACAGCTCCGTCTCCACGGCCAACGACAGCAAAGATGATTGGGAGGCGACTATGAAATCTCCACCGCAAATTGTATTGTCTTTGTCAACCCCAGGCATTAGCTGACCATTTGTGCATTGAATATGTTGAAGATGACAAATTCAGAGTACAGTACCAGTTTCCTATTCTCGTTGGTCATGCTCATGCTCGTGCCCGTGCCCATGCCCATACTCATATATATCCAACGCCAATTCCAATTCGGCGAACCTGGAAATGAGCTTGGGCCAGCGAGACGCGAGCACGAGACACGAGACACTAGAAGCGAGACGTTCATTTTCAAATCCCTATCACTATCACTATCAAAATTTCGTTGCGTTGCGTGTTGATACGACTCGAAAAAAGGATTAACCGGCATTGACCAACTTAGGAAAACGTGAAAAGAAAATGGCGGCTGCAAAGATATCGACTTCGACAGTGGTCATGGACGATGGCGTCAAGCTGTACGTCAAATTCCACGGCGACGTCTCAGACACCACGAAGCCATTAATCATCGGCCTCCATGGGGGGCCAGGACTGGGCAACCACACAGCACTCGATGGCACTCTCGGTGATCTGGCATCCAGCTTCCGAGTTCTGGTGTATGATGCTCGGGGAAGTGGCGTGTCGGACCTGGTCGGGCCTTATACGCATGAACGGTGGATCAAGGACATTGAGAATCTCAGGTAGGTCTTTCACCTGTGCCTGTCCTGGGTTCCGGGTATGTACGCCAGGACGGGAGAAGAGAGCAGAGCAGTGGAGAGCAGAGGAGTGGACCATCTAAGTCGGAATCTGGGAACAGCGGTGCTAACTCGTGTTCTGCACAGAATCTGGGCCGGCGCCGAAACCTTCGTGCTGGCCGGCCACTCGTACGGAGGTTTCATTGCACTCGACTACGCTATCAGCCACCCCAACCGTCTGAGCGGCCTGATCCTGATCGACACCTGGACGGTGGGCACTTTGGGCCAAATGGGGGCGTTGGCGAACATATTGACGTCGGACCGAGTGCAGAATGTGGACAAGGACCGGCAGCTTCGCATCTGGTCCGGCAACCTCCTCAGCGACCAGGACTACCAAGACGGCATCACGGAGATCCTAGCATTCTATTCACCGCCTGACGAAGAAGGTGCTCCCAAAAAGCCTGCAACTCCGGCGCCGATGCCCGCGGACCTTTTCGGACCACACAAGCCATTCCATATTCATTACGAAACACAGAACTGGGCGTTCGGTTGGAACTTGCCACGCTTCGACGTGCGAAAGAAGCTCAAGGATATCAAGGCAAGCCCTTCCCTCTCCAGACCGACACTGACTCGCTCCCCAGCCCTTGTCTTTCCTCTTCCTTGTGGGGTTGTATATGACGACCACATCCCGACCCAACCATCTTATTGTTCTTGTTCTTGTTCTTGTTATTAACTGGGATACATGTTGTGTTCAGGTCCCGACCCTCATTACCGTTGGCCGCCATGATCAGGTGACACCTGTGAGCTTTGCCCTGGAGTTGGAAAAGGGAATTCCCAATTCAAGACTGGAGATCTTCGAGCATTCGTCGCATAGTCCTTATGTGGACGAGCCTGACAAGTTCCGTGACGTTCTGCTGGACTTTGTGAAGTCCAAGGTGCTTTGAAGGACAGGAAAGGCCAACCGGAAATGGATAGAGGCTAGAGAGTAGAGGGTAGAGGGTCACCACCCATCATTACGGCGGTGCATGATGTTGTCCCAGTTTTGAGACAGGCCGCTCGAGCTTGAGTCAATACACCACACGATTCGGTTCGGCTCTCGTCATGGATACCTCAAGTGGTTCCAAAAGTATATACTTCACCCAGGAGAAGTCACGGTGACCGATCAGCGTGATCTGACGGCGTGGAACTGGAACTTGTGAATTGAATTGGATTGAATTGAATTGGATTGAATTGAATTGGATTGAATTGAATTGGATTGAATTGAATTGGATTGAATTGAATTGGATTGAAT